GTCAATGTCCGGCGTGGATGCTTTGCGTTTGCGAGAGCTCTCCGGGTTGGCTTCGCCGCCTTCGTCCTTGTGCATATCCGCGAACTTTTTCTCCATCTCGTCGAAGATCATCTCGCACTGCCGTACAATCTCGCCCTCGGAAGTGTCCGCTTCAAAGTCAAAGTCGAGTTCATCCAGATCATCAATGGGATCTGCTGGTTGGACTGCGGGAGCAGTTTCAGCTTCCTTATCCGCCTCTGGTTCGCTCTTCGAAGTGCCGGTGCCCTTGCTGATGACGAGCTGCTTTTTGACTTGGAGCGCGAGCTCGAGGAACTGGATTTGTGGTGATGACTCTTGAGGCGGATGATGAGGAACTGCTTGTGCCTGCTACTTGAGCTTTTCTCGTCCCGATGCTTGTCGCTGCTGGAGGACTTTTTGTGGGCAGAGGAGCTCGAGGAAGATTTATGCCTGGAGGAACTTGAGCTCGAGGTGTGCCGCTCCCTAGAGCGTTCCTTGTCGCTGTGGGATGACTTTCGCTTGTCCTTTTCATCCTTGTCGCTGTGGGATGACTTTCGCTTTCCTTTTCATCCCTGCCTTTGTTCTTCTCCCGCTCCTTGTCCTTGTTATTTTCCCTGTCCCGTTCCCTGACCTTAGTTTTGTCCCTTTCCCTGCTCGACTTGTGCTCCTTTTTGTGGCTATCCCTGACACATTTTGGCTGCTCCGCCTGCTCCTCTTGCTTGACCACCTGGACCTCCTGCTCCTCGCTGTCGTTATGCGGCTCCTCTATTTCCACTTGCATTTGCTCATCGATCTCCTTCTCTAAACCGCCTGCCAGTCGTCGTCGTCTGCGCCACCATTTGTGGCGGATGGCTGGCCGGGCACATATTTTGGGGCACTGTCCACGGCCGCCTCCTGCTTCTTTTTCGCCGGCGAGGCGTTCAGAGCCGGCTTCTCTGGGTGGTACTCCAGTTTGGCCTTCTTCCGGGGTGCACACAATGTGATCTGGGGCAGTGGGAGGGAGAGCAGCTTGGGAGCCGGCTTGTACTCGGGCACGGGAGCAGGCTCCGCGGGCGGAGCGGCCTCCACATCGTCTGCAAACCGGAAGTGGTTAGTACTTCTATGGAAATCTACTGAAAGTTCTCACCTTTGCGGGCGTGCTTAAAATGACAAAAGGGACGACGGCAGGTGGCCGCATCCTGGCCATCGAAGTACGGGCACAGGAAGCCCTTGAAGAGGCCCGTGGACGGCAGCATTCCGGCGGCCGGCTGGGATTAGCTATTAAATCAAGCCGCTCAATAAAGCAAGCGTCCCAAATTTCCTTCTAATCTCTCTATCCGTCTCTTTCGCTCATTTCATCAGTTGTCAGCTGTTTCAGCTATTGCCGGCGTTGCCAGATGGGCGGCAGCTTGGTTGCTACTAGTGGCATTTCCTTGTGTGTTGTTGACAACTCTGGCGGGAAATAGTTATAACGGTTTTTTGCCATTTAAAAAGAAAAATCGACTCATTTTCAAAATTAAAAAATAATAAAGGAAGTTTTATATTAACACTTAAAATATTTGAGATACAAATTATTAATTATTATATGAATAAAACCAGCAAAAGGTGTCAGCCCTTGCAATCAGCTGTTTTAGCTTCCAATTTCCCACAGGGTTTGCCGCTTGGCTTGTAAACAAAGTCGGTACAAAGTATAGTACGAAAGATAAATTCTTTAATTAAAATATTCGTAAATACCTAATAAAAATCAGTATTATCTGTCTAAATGAACCTGATAACTTCATAAGCGCATTAGTTTCGCCCGATTTAATTACATTCAGGTACATAACTCAACTGACGTCTCTTTTTGTAGACTTGTGTGGGTGTGTCCCGTAGAATCTCTAATCTAGAAATTTATATAGGAATTCAAGTGTAAGGGGGCTTATCAAAGGCCGACTGTCTGCTGGTAATGATTGCGGTTTGATATATTATCAAACTGAGTCAGAGTACGCGGGTGGCGGATCCCACGATGCGATAATACAGGTGCTTCTACAGCGAGGTGTGTTGTGCTATCAAACCAACCTATGCATTCAGTCGTATAGCGGCAGTCTGGCGGTTCGGGTGTCTCGGAAAACGTAAATTCTCATCGAGTCCAAAGGTCAGTCGGCGAGAAATTGACTAACGATTTCACCAGTGCACCGGGAACATAAATATTTATAAAGCTCCAAAATCCGGACTTTGTTCCGCTGATTGGGGGAGATAATCGTCTAGCTCTAGTCCAAAAAAGATTACTTTGAACTTGACACATACACCCCTAAAATGCATATTAAATTATCATTACTTTGTGATGTTTATTTAATTATTCTACAAAATGAGTTCATATCTTGAGATCAACTTATTTCTGATGTGAATGTACCCAGTTTTTGTTTATTGCGGGAACTTTGGACTTTCTAATCTGGTCGTAGGCCTTTTGGGAGCCACCACACGCAAACTTATCACAACGATTCCCCATTGTCCCCCGCAGATTAACCACCATGGATCGGGCTAGCCTATATTTTATGAGCAAGGATGATAAGAACACCTTTGACTTTGACGAGACGCTTCCCTCGCTCCCTCTCCCGGAGCTTAAGGACACCATGGAGCGTTACTACACCTGCATCCAGCCTTTTGGGACCAAGGAGGAGTTGGCCCAGGCCGAAGCACCATCGATGAGTTCCAGAAGGGAGTGGGCGCTGAGCTCCACGAACGGCTCAAGAAAAGGGCGGCCAGCATGAGGAATTGGCTGGGCAGCTGGTGGGAGGACTATGGATACCACCTGATTCGTATGCCATTGCTGCCCTATCAACTAATGGTCATGCCCGCACAATTGGAGATTGTGGGCGTGCCGGAGACCCCGGAATACATGCTCAAAGTGAGTGGTCAGATAGTGATAAATCACTTCAAATTCATAAATCAAGAACTCTTAATTACATTAACACTAACTTATCTATAGAAAACAGAAAATTAATCATTGTTATCTGAAAAATCTATGTTATCTCGTCTAAAATCGTACTCTATTTCGTGGACAAAGCTGTGAGCTTTTTCTGATTGTCTGTACAAATTTCCGCAGAGCTTGGCCCGGCATATTTTCTACACCCTTGAGTTCTGGGATCTGACTCGGACGTCCAGCATCAAGCCGCTTTCCTCGAATGGCGGAAAGATCAAGTACTCCTCTGCGCTGTACAAAAACTTCTTTTCCACGTGCCGCGTTCCAGGCGAGGAGCAGGACCACATCGAAAAGCATTTCCTTACCAAGGACGAGGGCAAAACTCCCAGTCACATCCTGGTCTCCGGCAAGGGACGTCAATTCATCTTCGACTGTGTGCATGAGGACGACACTATCTTGACGGCTCCCGAGATCCTGGTGGTCCTGCAGCGACTGCGCAGCATCCTGGACTTAGAACCAATGGGGGATTGTGTGCCCACATTGAGTCATGATGATCGGACCTCGTGGGCCCGCAACCGCAACCGGCTGAGGGAGATCTCGGCGGAGAACAAGGAGACGCTGCTGCTGGTGGAGAGCGCCAGCATGGAGATTTGCTGGTACGAGCAATCGCCCAAGGACTACGAGGAGTCTTCGCAGCTGGGTCTCTTTGGTGACCTCCACTCCCGCTGGGCGGATCGCAGCAGCAGCATCATCGCCTTCCGCAACGGTCGCTGCAACTGGACGGGAGAGCACAGCTGCTACGATGGCACCGTTAGCATCAGCTTTGCCACCTTCATCCAACTGAGTTTCCTGGAGGTCCAGAGCCTGATTGGTCGCAGGCTGAGTCCGGCAAAATGGTGGAGCTTAAGGAGCTGAAGTTCCAACTGGATGAATCTCTTAAGAGCGACATTAAGCGGGTGCAAAAAGACATCGATGATAGGGTAAGTCAAATATAAATGTTTGGGTCTTGCCATAACTTCTTTGTATGTCACCATAGGGCATTGATGTTACCACCACTTTTACTGTTTTCGATGACTACGGCAAGGACTTTATGAACCCACCGCCTGCATCCGGACTCCTTTGTGCAGGTGGTCATGCAGTGGGCCTACTACCGGATGCATAAAGAGTGAGTGGTGTTTGGGGATTATCAGAACACCACATTGACTTCATTTCCATAAATAGGATTGCTCCCACCTACGAACCGCCCTGATGCGGCAGTACTACAATGGGCGAACGGAAACGCTGCGATCCTGCACTGCCGCTGTGGCGGAGTTCCTGAGGGCCTCCTCTAACAAACAGGTTGGCGACATGTCGCTGGCCAGGGCCTTCCGCAAGGCTGTCGATGAGCACAAGCACTTCATGAACGAGGCACGCAAGGGTCATGGCATCGATAGACACTTGTTTGGCCTGTGGTGCGCAGCATGAAAAACAAAATGGACATTCCTGCCTTCTTCGATGATCCGATGTACTCGAAGAGTGGCGGTGGTGGAACTTTGTGCTCTCGTCCAGCACTCTGGGCTTCACCGCCAACGTGGGCTTCGTGGCGCCCATGCTCTTCGATGGCTATGGCGTCTTTTACTCCATCACCTCTGAAGCGTAAGCTAAATACATCCATTTTTAAAGATCCACTTTAATCTTGTGCCTTGCCAGTGTGTTCATCAATAACCACCGCATATCGGGATAGCATCAAGACGAGCGCCCGCAAGTTCAACGACATCTTCAAGGACTCTTTCCGACGCATTAGTGTTCTACTGGAGCAGTTGGCCAAGGAGTCTAAGCTATGAAAAGCTTGCCTAGTATTAAGAAGGACAAATTATTACTTTATGTCGTCAATTGAAACCCTGTTCTCGTTTTTTATTCCAATCAAAGCAGTGTATTCGGATTCTTTACCATTTACTATTACCCAATTTGTATCAATGACTGCTGAGTTTATAATTTCTATTTGAATTGCTGAACTAGCCCAACTTTTAATTCTTAATTCAACCCACCTTTGATTGGAATCGTAATGAGAACTCGGACTTTGTAGCTAGTTTGTAAGTTAGTGTGTCATCCAAGGGTATGCAGCATTCCAAAGTTTCGAAGATTCGTGTTAAACGTTTATTTAAATTCAATGATCGATTAGTTTACGCAAATACATTTCTCTCGGTAATTCTTTTGTTTCAACTCTAAAATGCGGCTAAATAAGCTAAGCGCCCAGCCGCTTGGATACGTTCAACACTTTTTCTCATTCGACTTAATAAGCGAGCGCCGCAGCTGGCCCTAGATACTACATACAAATTAATTGGAGCTTGCGCCGGATTATATATATACTCGTCTATATACGAAAACTTTTCGTTAGTAAGTTCGATTATCTGGGAGCTAAATGCTAATTACAAATGGTTCTTACTGCAGTTCTACAATTTATGCAGTGCTTCGGGGTCGCAGACCCGAGGACAGAATGGGGAAAAAAAATCGTCAGATGAGCTGAGTGTGGAGCTGGTCTGTTCGCACTAGTGCGGCGGGGGCGGAGGTCGGTAGTAGCCAGCGTGCGGCGGCAGCATTGAGTATCCGGAGGATTGAGGAGGAGCGATCCGTTGACCTCGTCTATGCTGCTGCTGCTGTTGCGTCGGCAAGCCGGCGACGCCTGCACTCATTCCTGCCCAGTGGCCGGCACCGGCTGGAGGTTCTGCTCGGTAGCCGGGGGAGTAGCTGCCACCTCATCCTTGGATCCTCCACCCGGAGCGGCACCCTCTCCGGTGGCCTGGAAGGCCGATGGTCGCTGCACGAACATGTTGTCGATAATGTGATCGATGTTGTCCGAAATGCCCTCCTCCTTGGCTCCGCCCTTGCCCTTGTGCTTCTCGGAAGGCGGCAGGATGGGGATCGCGTTGGTGGGACGACGCTGGGGCAGAGCAGCTGGTCGGCTGGCGGTTTGGGCCGGCGGCACAAAGTAGGTAGTGCCACCCACCGTGTTGTAGTTCTGGTAAGGCTGTGCTGGCTGCGTTGCGGTCGGAGCCTGGGCGGGCGGCGGAGTCGGTTGAGGCACCACCGATGGCGCCGCTTGGGCGTAGGCCACGGCGGCCGGAGTGGTTGGCAAGTAAGCAGCACTGGCCGATTCACATACGGGGCCTGGGGCACGGACACTGGCACAGGCACTGGCTCCGCTCCGGTCACATAGTAAGGAGCCGCCTGCGCCTGCGGGTATGCGGCTGCCGGTGGGGCATGGGGCTTTGGTGGCGTTGGCACTGCTCCTGCGGCAGTGGGTGGTCCCAGTTGCATGGTCTGCAGTTGGGCCTGCAGCTCCTGTTGCTGATAGGCGATCTGCATCAAAACGTGTGGGTCCTGAATCATGATCTGCGATTGCTGTTGCTGTTGCAGGTGCAACTGTTGCTGCATCTGTTGTTGCTGCTGTTGTTCCGCCAAGTGCTGTGAGGCCTCCTGCTGGGAACGACGTAAACTGGAGTAGCGCTTGGGCGCGTTTCTCTGCTCCTGGTGCAGTGGCTGTTGCTGCTGCTGCGGCGGCTGACTTTGATTGGCCAGAGAGTGCATTTGGACACTGCCCACATGACTGGGATCGTTGCGCTGCTGCACCTGCTGCAGTCGCTGCGAGAGGTTTGTCGTGGAGAGCGGCGTCTGAGGAGGCTGCTGTTGCTGGGGCGGCTGTCGCTGCTGTTGCGGCTGTTGTTGGTGCTGAGGTTGCTGCTGCGGCTGTTGCTGGTTGGAGCGTGGAGTGGTTTGCTTCTGGTTGCGATTGTCCAGTTGGTCAGGACCCCTCTCGCGCTCTCGTGGCTGCTGTCCGCGGTTGTTCTTCTTGAACTCCATTCCGTTCTGACGTCCTGGCCCGCCATTCATCCGTCCAAAGTTGCGGTTCTTGGGCTCGCGATCACGTTCCCGCTCCCTTTCCCGCTCACGTTCACGCTCCTGGGATCTGTGCGGATTTGAGCCACTGGCCAATGGCTGTTGTTTCTCTGCTACCAAGCCTCCGGGACCGCCAGACCGTCGGTTCTCCTTCTCCTCGCGCGAGGAGGAGGTTCTTGGACCACGTGGCTTCCTCTCGTTGAGGGCCGGGAAGTCCTGTGGCCTTGGCGGCTTGCGTTCCTTATTGCTCGCCTTCAGGTAGGCCTGTTCGTCCTCCCAGTTCCTTGAGTATTTACTCGGACCACGAGTATATCGCCGGCGACGTCTGGCTCGAGGCGGAGCATCCTCGTTCCTTATGTCGTAGCCGTACGTCTGCAGCAGCTCGGCCCGGGATTTGGGCGCCTGCTCTGTGGCCTCAAAGCGATCGTGGGACCAGCGATCCCCACCTGACGCCGGCTGCCACTTGCGCATAGTCTTTGATGCCTGTGAGATCTGTGGTTTGGCCAGTGGGAGTGGCTCCCGCCGCCGCCAACCCATTGAGTTCGCCATTGGGCTCCGCCGGCGCCTGGCCAGCTCCGTTTTCCGGCTCGATGAGGACTTCGCCCTCGTTCTCCGCCGTTCGGTCGTCGTGCTCGTAAAAAGTTCCCCGCTTGGGGATGTACTGGGGATTGCTGCGGTCCTCGTCTACCTTCTTCTGAGCCTCGCTGTCGGCGACAGAGCGGTCCATGGCTTGCTCCCCCTCGCCGTCATCCGTTTCGCTGCCCACCTCCTCGTCCTCGTCATCGGTTTCCGACTCCTCCTCCTCACTTCCGCTGCCACTGGCACTGCCGCTGGCACTCTCCTCGTCGTCGTAATCTTCACCGCCTTCCAGATCGCTGGCCGTGTCGTACTCCGAGTCGTGTGGGTGCGAATTCGAGTTGGGCTCCTGGGTGGGCGAGGTGCCCGGCTCCACATCACCGGTGGCATCCGTTGTGGGCGTCACAGCCGCCGCCTCACTGGCCGCTGGTGGCGTGGCGGCCTGGGGGATGTCGGTCGGGGGCGTGGCCACCACCGTTGGTTTCTCCACTTCGGCCATCGCGGGTCTCTTCGATTTTCTGCCTCGCTTCTGCTGCTGCTGCTGCTTCTTCTGGGGGAACGGGATGGAATGGGATTCTAGATGGTGTCACCGGGGGAATAGCTAGGCTGGAGACCCCTTATCTCAACTCACGTGCGAATCCTTGTCAGAGGCGGAATTCTATACCAAGTGTGATCTTCGTAACAGTAAATTGTGCAGGAAAACCAATAATTTCGCTGAGTTTTCTCGACAACAACGCAATCAGAAAATAGAAAGTCTAGAGAAGGGAGGCTAAAAATTATTTAGCTATCGATATTTTTTTAAGAAATAAATGTTTTTAATGTGATATTTTTTTGGCAACATTTTTAAAAGTCGCTGTTTTTATTATTAAAATTATTTTTCTTAAAAATATATATGATAAAAATTAAGTTTAATAAGAACTGCTATACAGTCGAGGTTCCTTTACCAGGTACCGAATGTTATCGATAATACAATCGATGGTCTGTCATCCCTAGGCCAGCTGTTGTAGGAGAAAGAGAGCCCAAAGCGGAGTTCGAAAAGAGCGACAGACGTTTAATTAATATCACTTGGAAATCAGAAACTGAATCAGACAAAAGACAAACTCCGCAGAACAGGAAAAGATGTCGAAGTTTCTGGGCGTGCCGTTGAAGAAGCCGTCGGAGGTGGACGTGGTCAAGCCGCTGAACAACCTCATCCAGAGCACCTACAACGGAGCAACGGAGGAGGAGAAGGGCAAATATGCAGAGGCCGTATCCGAATTTTCGAAACAACGCAATACGGCGATTTGGAAATTCTTCGAGAAGTACGAGGCTTCACTGGAGATTGTATATGCGTAGTACTTAACTAGTCTTTGTGGCCTTTTTCCGGGAAGTCCAGATGAGTCACCCGCTAAAAGTAGGAGCTAATCACACCCATTCCATTCCATTTACCTGGTGCTACTGTATTGGTGCGGCGGTCAGACGTAAACAAGCTCTCGGATGACGTAGTCGTTTACCAATGGATAATATTGCCTTTGGTTATTAAGTCCCCTTTGTATTTCCAGCTATATGACCAGATCTGCGCGCTGGAAACCAAGATATCGGTTAGCGAACTGCAGATACCCTTCAAGTGGAAGGATGCCTTCGACAAGGGCTCCATTTTCGGGGGCAAGATCAGCCTGAGTGAGTGATTCATCCATGGGCCACTTATTTCACAATCTAAGTCATGTATTACGATCACCAACAGCCCACACCTCCTTGCTCTACGAGAAGGTATGTGTCCTCTTCAACATTGCCGCCCTGCAGAGCAGCATCGCTGCCAACCAGCAGCTGGATTCCGATGAGGGGCTCAAACTGGCCATCAAGCTGCTCCAACAGAGCGCCGGCATCTTTCAGTACTTGAAGGGAGCCACTCCAGCGGCGGTGCCCTCTGAGCCCACGCCCGATATCAGCCAGGATACGCTAACCGTGCTGCAAGCTCTGATGGTCGCCCAGGCCCAGGAGGTGTTCATCCTAAAGGCCATTAAGGTATGTGATAGCGCATTTATATATAGTCTAATACTATCCAAATGCTTATCTATGAGGTAAGGTTTTCTATTTACTTTGGGTGATAAAACTATTTTATCAGGTACAAGCATCTTTAGGAGACGTATACATACACAAGTTTTTCAAAAAAAATCTGCTTATTATTATTTTTTAGTATATCTTTTTTTTATCAATGAGTAATAATTAATAATTGGTTGAATAATAAATGCTTAACCAAGAAATGTAGATTATCGAAAAAACGCTGTTTATGTTGAGGGTTCATTACCCTATATACATAATTTTTATGATATGATAACATAATAGGGCATGAATCATACATGTCAGAGAACTATAAGGTCACTAATCAGTAGTTTAAATATAATCAAAAGATACGCCAATGTAAAGCACTACAAGTAATATTATACCCCAACAGATAACATGAAGGACCAGATCATCGCCAAGCTGTGCTGCCAGGCGGAGAGTTCTATGCGGATGTGCTTCGTGCCATGCAAAAGGAGTCTGTGCGCAGTCTGTGGGAGAAGGAGTGGATACCCACAGTGGCTGGCAAGCAGGCTGGCTTCCATGCCCTCACCCAGTTATACCAGAGTCTCGTGTGCCGCGCCTCCAAGAAGATCGGCGAGGAGATCGCCCGCTTGCGCAACGCCATCGATCTTTTCAAGGCGGCTCAGTCCCGTGGCGGAAACGAGACCTACTTGGATGAATACTTTAGCCGCGCCAAGCGCAACTGGCCGAGTCCACCAAGGACAACGAGTTCATCTACAACGAAATTATCCCAGATCTGAGCACTTTGGCTCCCCGGGAAAGGCACAGTTGGCCAAGCCACTGCCCATCGGTGTGCCCATGGCCGGAAACTTCAAGGACATCTTTACTGGGCTGGTGCCGGTGGAGCTTCATCGCGCTCTCACCGCCTCCGATATGCGTCGCAATGAGATCGTCAATGTTGAGATCATGAAGCTGCGCGAGTCCACCCAAACTCTGAACGCTGTCCTGGCAAGCTTAATCTTCCAGCTGCCGTTGAGACAGCCGATGGCAACAGTGGGCTTCCACCGTCGCTAAAGGAAAAGGCCGTTGAAGTTCGCCAAAAGGGCGGCATTGAGAACATACAGACGCTGCTGAAGGATCTTCCCGAGCTACTGAACCGCAACCGCGAGATCCTAGACGAGACCGAAAGGCTTTTGGACGAAGAACGCGACTCTGATAACCAGTTGCGGGCACAGTTCAAGGAGCGCTGGACTCGCTTGAGTTCCGAAAAGTTGGCCGAGATGTTCCGCACCAACGCTAAGAAATACCGCGAAGTCATCACCAATGCCATTGAAGCCGACAAGGTGGTTCGCCAGAAGTTCGAGGCCAACCAGAAGGGCATCCAACTGCTTTCCTTGCCACCCGATCAAATTCAGCAATCCCTTCCCTCGGCCAGTGGCAGTGTGGATCCCAACTGCTCCAGCGTGCAGCGTCTCAAGAAGCTGATGGACGACGTGGAGACCATTAAGGCGAGCGCGAGGCCATAGAATCGGAGCTTAAGGGAACCACGTTCGATATGAAGGACGAGTTTTTGATCGCTTTGCAGAAGGATGGTGCTATCGATGAGCCCGCTCTGTCGTTGGCTCGCATTGGCCAAGTGCTCAATCCCCTACAGCAGCAGGTGCGTGAGAGCGTGGAGCGCCAGCAGACACTGGTTGCCGACATCAGAGCGCTCACGGTGACTTCGTCGCCGAAACGGGAAGCTGCGGCAGTTCGCGGGACACTCTGTACCAGGAACTGGCCAGCGCTTACGATAGCTACATTGAGCTATCTGGAAACCTACAGGAGGGAACCAAGTTCTACAACGACCTCACACAGTTGCTGGTCGTATTCCAGAACAAGATCAGCGACTATGTGTTCGCCCGCAAGACAGAGAAGGAGGAGCTGCTCAAGGATCTGACCACGGAGTCCAGTCGCCAGGCTTGTCCGGCCACTCCGGCACTGCCCGCACTACGCTTCCACATCGGGTAGTGGCAGCGGTAAGTGGAGTACCTTAACTAAAAAAACTACTTAATCAATATTTTTCCCTTTAGATATTCCACCTGGTTCTGCACCCGGTGCGCCGCCTATGGCATCGACAGCCAACATTCCGTATCCGGCCCAGGTGCAGGGCATGCCCGTTCCGTATGGAGCCCAGCCAGGTGTGCCATATCCCGCCTATGTGCCCGCGCCCATGCCACAGAGCTTCAACCCATACGGCACTTTGCCGTATCCTGGAAGTAAGCGATAGACCCCATAATAAAATTAATCTTTAATAATGCTATTTCCTCCTTTAGCCTACCAGTACCAAGGATTCCCGCAGGGACCTCCACCCGGCCACTATGGAACCTATCCCGGCAGCTATGCCAACCAACAGGGCGGCTACCCCAACCAGAAGCCACCGGGCTGGTAAATGGCCCTGTAACTACCCAGTTCATGTCCACATGTGCACAGCATGTTCCGCCCAAGGGTCAATCGCATGGCAGAGCCTCAGATGCGTCTGGATGGTGGAGAGGCAGGATGGATGGTATTCGGCATTTAATGCTCCGTGTTCTGGTTCTGTTTGGAAATTGTATCATACATGTTGATGACTTATTGGATTTTAATCTCACATATGCAACAATATTATCACGCATCTTAGTAAACGTTTTGTCAAAATATTTTTGTGTTAATCTACGACGGGTCACTTTGCTGCAGCCTCCGGAAGAACTCCCGCTTCATTCCGGCAATCACCCGCGGGGCACACATGCTGCTCACTAGGAGCTCCCAGGTGGAACTGATAGGAGATGGTTCTGATGGACTGGTATCTGTTTGGAATCTCTTGGAGTTGGCACTTAGAAGAAGCTTGTATTCATCATGAGCCATCACCTCCAGAGGGCGAACAGTGAGGTTGACGCTGTTCAACAGGGTTTTCCAGTCCGCTTGGCTGAGTAATCGGTATCCCAGAGTTTGCGATTGCTCTGACCGCTTTCCATATTCTGCACTGCCCGCTCGAACTGGGCAAAAAGCTCGCTGGGCTTGCTAGAGATGTCATCCATCTGGTTGGGATTTAGGAGATATTGCTTCATCTCATCGCTCTCTCCCTTGACGAAACTCTCCACGATGTGTTTGACCAGGAATTCGTCCAGAGCCAGGTCCATGTCCACTTTCAGCGGCACCCAGTAGTTGACACTCAGCGACGTGGACAAGGCCTCAACGTAGTGCCACCAGTGACGCGGAACGATGAGTACATCGCCCGCTTGCAGGTTGCAGTGGTAGGCCTCCCTGCCCAGTTCCTCATATCGCTGAATCTTCCCCGGATCCGGGGCATAGAAATTGTCCAGGCAGTAGACACTGGACTCTTCGTAGGGAATCCTCGTGCTTTGCAGCGGCGTTTCTGGCGGGAAGAGCAGCCAGGACTTGCAGCCGTGCACCTGGACCACGATGTTTACGCCAAAGGTGTCGTAGTGACATGGGGTGTTGGCCTGCTCCGATCCCAGCCAGAGGCTGAAGTCGTTGCCGTGCTCCGGGAAACCGAAGCAGGAGAAATCAATGCCCCTCAGGCAACTGGCGGGCATCTCGTGGGCCCTCTTGTACTGGTACGCCGCCCAGTGGGTGTGATCCTCCTCCAGGACTCCGTACTCGGCGCAGGAACTGCTGCATGCTGAGGTGAGTAGCTTTCTCCCGCTTTCGCTCCCACTGAGGAGTCCTGCTGTCCGCCAGGGACATCAGTTCGAAGGTTGGAGGATCGGTGGCCTCCTGGTCGAACCGCTCGCACCAGTCGTGCAGGGAACCCTCGAAGCACTCCCATTCCAGCGGGAACTGATCCAGGATCAGCGGTACGCGGGTGTTCAGGATGAGATCCCTTAGTATGGTGTCCAGTGCCATGTTTTTTTGTTTATTTTGGCCGCTTGGGCCAGTGTGGCTGAGAGTCAACCCTTCAAAATAACCTTTATCGTTATCAGGTCACTTTGACGCCAAAATAATGTCATGGCGGGATTATTTAATTATAAAGTCACAAACCAAATTGAATTGTATTTTGTATGCCTACAGCTTAACACTTTTTAAGTAGATCAAATAATTAGTATTAATAGTAAACTAAAAAAGTCGTCATTCTTAATAGAAAGAGTTCAAAAAGTTCAAGAGTTAAATTTTTGAGGGAAATTCCGTGAAATTTTTTACCATTTTGACTACGGTATTTTTTTTTTTAATGTGTGCCCCCTTAACCGTGCCGAAACTCCGACCAGGATTGTCAAGAAGATGATTACCAACTTCATTTTGGATACCCAAGTGCCTAAGATCCTGCCTTATATAGCAATCTTTTATTACGTAAAACGAATTAATTCGTTACAGCATCTGCTGCTTCGTTAAAAATTGTAAAGAAATCAACAAACAATTCCAGCTTAAACTTGTTGCGTAATACTTAAATATGTAATCTATGTTGACAATACCATTTATAAGACTTTGGCTACAATGGACTTTTTTAAAAGACTTTATGTTCCCAGAACTTTTTTCGCGTAAGAAAATAATAGTAGCTTATATTGATAAATGGTGTTGATTTAATGGTAGTAGTAACAAAGTAATACATTATACTAATAATTTAAAATGGGGAAGCAGAGTTCGTCCTATTTTCCTTCGGGAACCTTGGGAGGGACTCCAATGCCAGGCCATGGTTTTTTGGTAGAAAACGCATCAGGTGGCATCGGAATTACGAAGGCAATTCTTAAAAAAGCTAAGAAGAGGACACCGAACTTCATTTTATATCATCTTCTGAATTCGATGGCTTCTTTAGCTTTAAAAATGGTTTTAAAAAATGAGTTTATTTTTCTTTTGCTAAACCAATTCGTTATGGCAAAACATGCAAATTACTAGGGGTCTCTGACATTAGGTAATGTTATCTGCATTTGTTCTTCCTAAATAGTTTATAAAGATGTATTTTCACTTAATAATATATTAGTTCTGCTGAGCTGTTGATTTAAATATTACTTCTTTCCTTGAATACACTATATTTCTACAATCTTTAAATGCAAAAATGTATATTTCAGCATTAAAAAATAATTCTTTTTATCGTTATAAAGGTGGTCCGTCTTATAATTTAGTCTTAATCATTATCCAATCATTCTGAGGTATAAGATCAAACGTGTTCTGAATTTTTTAAGCGTGGCTCAAGCTGCTTATGTTTCGAGTGCAATGCAAATACGATTAGACGAAATGTTAGTTTAATTAGTAAGAATTTCGAATTACATAATTGCAATCAAGATTGCGTGAAGAACTTGTTCTGCAGATCAAGTTGTCCAGTAGTTGCAGATAGACCGCCGAACTGCCGCGCACGCAAACGAGTCTTGTTTCAGATCGGTTCGGTTGGGTATATGTTTATGTGTCAGTTGGGTTGGTTTCGTTCCTAGGACTCTCGGCTTGAGCAACACTTTGAGATAATTATTTTGATATGACAGGCGGAAATGGCGTTAACAAGTGGCACCGACTGGGACAGCGATAGCCTGGCATTTATAGCACATTCGGGGAAACGAATGTTATCCGACTTAGGATTGCCACAACGGTTATCTGCATAGCAAGGCTCCATCCTCATCGCCAGCCTCCCATTTACAATGATGACGGCCATAAAAAATCAATGGGAAGGTCGGTCCCATCCTCCATTTGTCATAAAAGTGATTTATGTCTCATTCGCTGGCGAAACTACAAGTCATTAAATCTACTTAAGCCGCGCACTCAATATGCCACGGATACGGGTGAAAAGTTCAACGCTCGTGAGTCAGCAGACACGGGCTCAAATCAGGAAAACTTAAGCTGCAAATAACAATTATGCGCCAGAGTCGCCAAAAAAAAAAAATAATGGAGGAAAGCGAATTCAAGAGGGAACAAAACATACAACATTATTTATGCGGCAGTTTGGAGGTGCGCCGTCTGTCTGCCCGATTTTTTGTCATTATGGGGCTGTTACTTCTGGCGACTTGGCGCTGTCTTATAAAATATGTATCTGTATCTCTGTCTGCGGCTTTATCTGCCGAACGAGAAACTGCGCATGCGCACGCTCGCCCGCTTCCGTTTTTTATTTTTTGAGGCCCAATCTTAAATCTTCCCATAGGGCTTAGTCAGAACACGCCCGGTCTTATGGCGATAGCCTCTTATATAATTAGCTTGATTTTTGTTTTTTTTTCTGCCAACCATGTTCCGCTCTTTGGGCAGCATAAAGAACTCGGCTTGTGTCTCTGTCGTGACAGCAGCCAAATTTGCCAGACACTCACCTTTCCCCTTCCAAATCCCTCCGACTCCGAGTTTATTTCACCTTTGTCCAAGTCAACAAACTCGCAGCAGACAGTTCCGCCCCCATTTTGGCTCTTTGTCTGGTTCTGACTGCCATGCTAGGTATTTAAAGGGATTGCACTTAAAAATCAGTCAATATTTATTTATCAAAACAAAATCGTTCATGCACTTAAACCTAGCTTGATATATGCCATAATTTATTGCTTGCCGTAGTTGCTTAGCTAAATGCAGGTTGGGCTGGTCCTTAAGAGGGTTACTTCATAGGTTTTGAGTTTGCAGATTCAACCGATATGTCTTCAGGTCAATTGATATATTTCAAAGTTGTATGGATTTTGAGGTGATTGAAATTCGGATTTAAATATATAATACGATTAATTTTGTCCGTGGGCGTTTAAAAATATCATTATATTAAACCAAAAATTCAAGTTTCATTCATTTCAGAAAAATCTCAAATGAAGCCGTTAAAAAAAACTTTAATAACAATAATAAGATTTATTGACCTGTTTTGTGCTGCTATGGTTGATCACCGATTGATATGAGGTATACCCTTCCTAGACCAGCCCATCTGTTATTGTATTCATTGCCGTTGTATAAAAATAGACTTGACCCTTTGCAATTGTTAAACAGTTGCTCGAGTGCTCAGATAGGGATTTGCTCGGAAGGGGTTCCAAGTGGAAACTGGACGGAAGAGGGGAGAACCCTGGTTAAAAGATTCAAAATAGAACGCCCGGCATCGCAGTCTTTCGAAGGTATTTCAGGGAGACCCATTCAACCGGATTACGATGATATTCTGTAGAACTGCGGCTTCTTCTGGTGCTCCTTGATGACATAGAAACCCTTGGGCTTGCCATTGCCCGCGAAATACTTGTGGAAGCTCTGCTTGCTGACCGCTTGCGAGGGGGCGTAGTATGTGGGCGATTTGGGCTTCAGGGACTTGCGGTACTTGGCCTTCCCCCCACCCGCACTGAAGCCCTTCTCGGCGGTCTCATTTTCCCAGGGCTGGCGCCAGGTGGGCACACTTTGTATATCCAACAGCCGGTTTCGGTCCGCCGCCGAGACGTGGGCAAAGTGGGGCTTCTTCGCGAGGGCCTCCTTGAGGACGGGCAGGTTCCAGTGGTAGATGCGTCCCGGTCGACCGTTCGAGCTGAAGGGAAACGAGACCTGCAATTGAAAACGCGCACTGATTAGACAACATTACCCGTAGACTGCGACTGGCGTCCCATAAATCAGCCGGGTGCTCCGGCGACTAAATCAGAAATCAGGAATACTCCACTCCTCAAGCGGAGTGGCTCAAACAAATTGCATTTTTAATTGAAGCTCGGACTTGGTTAATGGCCTGCATATTAATTTCTGGTTCAGGCATACTGGTACCGAGTCTTAGTCGTGAGAGCGTAATAATTTTCGTGCCATCGTGCTGTCCGACATCCACTGACATTGACACTTGCTGCATTAATTCAGCGCCCCAGCTCCACAAAGGCCATGTATTACAGCTGGAATGCTGTATTGAAGACCCCTGTCTGGCACTTCTGGCTCTCTGGACTTTTCGATACCCCTCTGTCATTGGGAGAACCCATCGAATGGCTATTTATAGGTTAGGTTGGCAGGGTCCAACATACCCATTTTGGTCATTGGGGGTAACACGCATAAAAATAGCAACTGCAAGTCGCATGTTCTTGGCCTTCTTCTCGTTCTCTTTCGAAGTCTACAAAATGGGTAATCCATTTCGCTTCCACAACAGCTTCTCTTCTTCGTTTTGCAATTTGTTTTATGCGCATGCGCGGCGATGTTTATCGCGGTCTAGGCCCAAACCTGGCCCCCAGATACAGAGATCTGTTGGGTGAGAGCCAGTTCTTAGACATGGCCAGAAGGGGTATTGTGTGTGCCTATGTCTATGGTGTAACCTAATGGAATCCCGTTTACCTTTTTCCCGTTAGCTTTCAACGCCGACGCCTCGGCAACAGGCGATGTTGCTGCTGGCGTGCTTGATGTTGCTCGTGTGTCCGCCGATGTTGCTGCTGCTGATGCTGATGCTGCTGCTGTCATCTTAGGTGCGTTGCTACCATTGTGGTAACCATTAGCGCTGCCTTTACCAGACTTGTCCTGCTCCGTCGCCACGGAATTCTTCGCACCGGGTCCTGCATAGTAGTGCATATTTGGCGGCAATTTGATGATGAACATGTGTGAATCATCGCGCGAGGAATGGCGTCGTGACTCAACCGCCAGTCGCTTCCGGTTGTGGCTATTGGGCGCCTTCACCTTCATGAATCCCATCTGGCTGCAATGAGAAGAGGGGGTTTTGGGTTTGCTTTGTTTCGGTTTCGGATGGTCTAGAGGTTGGGGGGTAAAACTTGGACATAGTGTCTGGTCTAGCAAACGTTGCAAGCGTTTTCCATGAATATTTCACTGCATAATTTATGGCGTTGAGGGGGGATGAGCTGGACACGATACCTTAATTAAGCCCAAAAAAAAGAGGCGGTCCACCTTTTTATCCCCCAACAATTCCAGTCAGCAGTGAGAAAAATATAGCTTTAATCTTTAGGAGTTGGTACTTAAATACTCAAACTCAAAAATGCGTAACAAATGTTGGTTGTGTCCAGGAATTGCCATTATTAATTTTTTCCAAGCTTTGTAATCGTTTAATAAGACAGGTTAACTACGACGCTTTTTTATGGCTTAATTAAAGCTACAATTATTAGGCACTGTAATTTTTTTCATGAATTTTAAGAATTTTAAATTTTAAGCCCAACTTTCAATAAATTTTAAATTTATGAGTTCATGTTGCACAAGTTTAATTTTACTAAACTTTTCAACATTTATTGTTTAAGTTACGTTTGTAGAAATACCTCTATTTTTATGAACAACATTAAGTACAAATCTTATATCCAAAGAAATGTTATAATAATTTTAAAGTTTTTTTTATATCTTAAAAAATGTTTAAGTGTTAGAAAATATGTTGTGATATTAATATATCTCGTTAAAAAATCATTGAAGCATAAACCAAGCACATCAGCTAATCAGATTGATTATTACGTAAAGATTTTGAATATAAATTGAAAGTGCTCAAGGAAGCCTATAAAACATCACGCTGGTCTGTAAGATTTATTATATAATTTTCCCCGCAGTGTGTTAACTCACCTGAGCAGCTTCTTGTTGAGGCCATGAGCGCTTCTGGCCAGTTGCTTGTGCTGTTTGATGGTCGTCAGAGGATCCGATCTCGATCCCGCTCCAGCTCCCGCCACCGTCCGCCTTTCCAACTTCTTGATCTTGTGCATGTGGGCCACATCCTTGGCCAAAACCGCTCCCGAATTGCCGGCACCCTGGGCCATCGAAATGGAAGCGAGGCACAGGAGGCAGTAGAACCTGCGGGATCAAAACTGCTTTAATGGCCATCGGTTTATGGGCTGGCATAGCTCGTTTTCATGTGCGAAATTCTATAAGGGATTAGGCTGCCTGCGGCTTTTGATTGGAACCCACGGCCAGGGTTCCAGGGTTACAGGGTTCAGGCTTCCAGGGTTCCCGGGTTCAGGGTCATTCTGCGGCATTCACTTTGACAGGTGAGATGCCCCAAGGTCTTCATTTCGCGTTGGTTTTTGGGCGGGGCCATACCCATCATGTAAGCCAACTCCTCAACTTTAAATAGATGTTGCCCCTGCCTCAATGTGAAACTGAAAACCACTGAAAACTACTTGCCGCTGCTCGAGTGTCAAGTTGTAATAAGGAAGAAAGCGGAAAACAAAGCAGATAAAAATGCAAATAGGCACGTACAATTACAGGGTTTTTCGCCCCGGGGGGAATAGAGGGGAGGTATCGCTGGGAAACTCAAGAGTCATGGGAGCATTAGAACCAGCTATCAGTATCTCTGGGGGTGTTGCATTCACCGATACCTTGGCTTAAAACGCCACATTATGTGAATATATTGCTGGACTTTTAGCAGTTCTTAAGGTCTCTTACCAGAGATCGATCCCGTATCGACTTTGTCAAGCGAAATGCTATTGACCGACTAAGCTGGACTTCACATATACTCATAGTACATATATAGCTCGATATAACCCCTTGGCGGTCTTGCGCTCGTTACAAATTATCATGGAAATTGGCTGGGTTTTATGCAATAAATGTAACCGAAGGCCAGCCGACGTGCCCGGCATTCTGAGCCAAGTCTTAGCCTCCGAGCTCTACGAAAGAAAAAAGATAATGCATGCAAAAAAAAGAACAAAAAACCTTAGAAGCCGAAGAAACTGCATAAATTTCGAGTGCAAGACAGCAAGGAAACTGTGCCTGCAGGCGGGATTAGAGGCCAGTCAGGAGCAGGAGTTGAAGTTGGGATCTGGGAGCTGGGAGCTGGATCTGATGGACGGGAATGGGGGCCAATCGATTTTGTGGATTGCAAATCCATGGGAGCCCAATCGAAAGCGCCCAAATCAACACGTACTTAGCAGTGGCCACCACATGTTGCCTGGAGTTTCCCCCATACCATCCTTATAGCCATGGACTCCCCCATCCCAAAATCCCTGCCGATGCAAGCCAAACAAACACCCCAGGCGGGTAGCTCCAACTCCTTTGTGTCCTCTGTGTCTGCGCTGTGGTTTTTGTGGCCATTTTCATGTTAACTCTGTATTGATAAATTGCAGAATAAGTGAATGCATTTTTTTTTATTATTTTTCGTTGTCCTGGCCCTGAACATATGCGGCATTTTTGAATTATTAATGAATTGCCAGCACAAAGGAGCCCGCAGCCATACAAGATATACGCTATATATATATATATATATTTATATACCTATAGGATATACAACATGAGGTTGCGTGTTGCGCTCTTTGAAGTCGAAGTTTCGAAAACGGTTTCGTGTGAAAATTTGGTAAAGAAACAAGCACACATCAGCACGCCTTCGATAACTCTGAACTATTTGTATGGGTGCGTATATATTATTCAGAACCTCACACTGCTAGGGAAATATAGTACAGATACGTTATTGTCAAAATTGTACGTAGTATAATTATTGTGAGCAGAAGAAGGAAGAATACTCAAAATGCGCTTCGATCTGAAGGAATTGCTACTGGTGTCCATGTCCACCTCTCCAAATGGTGTCATACGTCGGCACAAGCGATTCAAGTGCGGGAAAGTGAGGTGAGTTTGGGATCAGGTGGATAGGTTAACCTATCACCAATTAATCAAATGAACTGTACAGCTACCTGGTTCACTATGAGCTGCAGATGGGAAAGCTGGTGATCCGTCAGGTGAAGCGGATTCGACGTACTTCCTCTCTAAGAAGCAGGTTGCAAAAGCGTCGTCGTCTTGTGCAGCGAATGTTGGAGAGAGGAAGTGGGATGATCTACAGATCACCGGTTTCCCGGGAGGATGGCTTCACCCAGACCTTCATGAACCACAACTCGATTGCCGTGGGCACAGAGGTGCTCCTAGAGACCAGTGCCAGCCAAACGGCCCACCAGGAGTGGATCAGCAGCCAGGTGGATACCTCCGATCTGATCTGTACCATTTCCAGGGATCAGCAGACCTTGAATCCCGTCCAGCAGTTCTTAAGCATAGCCGTGGGCACAGAGCTGCAACTGGACAGCACTGCCAGTCAAACGATGCTCCAAGAGTGGATTAGCAGCCAGGTCGATACCTCCGACTTGGTTCAGTACATGACGAGGGAACAGCAGACTTTCAATCCCGGCCAGCAATCCTTGGGATGCCAAACGGAGAAACAGGCAATGCAAAGTCGCATCACCCAGTCGGATTTGACCGCCAAGACCAGCTCCACCCAAACCAAGCTGGTCAATGTCTCCTTGGGCTCCCAAACTGAGCTTCACTGTACCAATGCTGTGATACAGACCGAGGTCGATTCCCAGAACATGAATACCCAAACCTATGACGACGAGGAGGAGGTCATCAAGCACCATCTACAGGCTCTCTACCTCATCCACGACTCCATCAAGAGCCAGAACGACCTTATCGAGCACGAAGTTTTGAACTCGGTCAACCAGCTGATTGATCTCACCATACTGGAAGTGAAAAACAGGCGAGTGATGGTGGATCTGCCCAGAGAGGCGTCATTGGAACCATTGACTCCTGTCCCGGTGAACCAAATCGGAGATAACTTACCAACGGACAGATCTTCACCAAAAGAGGAGAATAAGAAAATCTTTCCTAAGTCGGGTCTTAAGTTCAGGATGAAAAGGTAAGGGATATGTAATGGAAAACGGGGTTATAAGTTTCGTTTTTTTTTAAGAACACTAAATTAAAGGTCCGTCATAAAAAGACCCTCATATAAAAATATATATTTTATTGTACCGTTCAAACGTATTCACACATTCATAAAACACAGTATGTATAGGAGAATCTTCGAGAAGAACAGGCAAGATTTGGTACTTGTACTTGTTTGTATTTTAGTGTAATGAATGGGTTTTCAGGTATTTCTAATAAAGCAAAATGCGCCAGCTGCTTTTACCAGTAGAACTTGAGTGCATTTTGTATTTTATGTTCACGTTACTTTATTTTACAAATATTTCAGTTATTAAGAACTTTAAATCCTCCAATAAGAATTATTAGGAAAAAAACCATTTCTGTAATTACATGGTGGTGAAATATTATTGTTTTCCTTTTAAAAATTTTATAATTCCTAAGTAGAGATGATAGGATAAGTGTGACTTCCATAAAAAGAGCACACCTTGGGTCTTAAAATCCATTGTAAGTAGAAAAGCTAACCAATAACCAGAAAGTTGAGGTAGAGATATGGGTGCCTAGAGAAACCTCTAGACTTTTGTGAGATATCTGCAGTGTAACTTTGCCAGGCAAATAACAATAAAATGTCTCTCGAAGCTGATTTAGCAGCCAGCTAAAAGCCCCGCCCCTCATCCGCAGAGTCAGAGTCAGCAAGGACAAGAGGTTGTCCACCGGCCCCTCGTGGAGCTGTACGATGAAGTGCAGGCGCTGTGGTCTGCACATGCACCGCAGCAGGCACCGGGTGTCCAGCGAGTAGGTGACTCATAGCCCCATCCTCAGCATCCTCATCGCATTCCCATTTTTGTCCCCCCAGAAATCAAGAAACCCAGACCGAAGTGCAAGAATCGAAGGATGTGGTCGTCGGTGTAGAAATGGCCACGCAGACGGAAAAGGAGCGAGGACGCTGGACCCTAAAACGCAGCTAGGGCTCCAGGCTCCAAGTCCTGGTAACTTACCCCAGCAGCCAGGCCGCCGTTCTCATCCATGTTGGACTCATATTGATGAACTTGTGTTTTTTGTGTGGCACTTTTAGCATGTGGCAAACGGTGATTTAAAGTAAATGCAATCGAATCAGAGTCTCAAAGTCTTTTTGTTGTGGCGCCAAATGTTAAAAAACTGCATCTAAAATCGCGTGAATAGTTTTCAATTTCGGAATTCGTTATACGTTTTTCGAATTCAAGTTCGCAAGTCAGCCGCAGATACGTCCGCACACGATAAAATCTCGCCAAAGACTGAATGAAGCGGGCCGGTCGTCGTCGCCGTTTATGCCACAGAAACAGAACGAAAGTACCGAGTGGTTTCGGGTATTTCAGCTGGGCGCTGCACCACGTAAGTCCATGACTAACCCTAGGTTAATAAAATCACTCTGGTTCCCGGAAAGAAACCTCATCCGGAATCCCATTTGGAATTGTTTTGGAAATTGGTATGCAAATATGAGGTGTTTTCTTGTATTGTAACTTTCTTTAAAGTTACTCTTATATTTGGGATTATCTTGGAAAACTATTGTATATTATATGATTTATATTATTGTAATTTTATTTAAAAGGTATGTTATCGGCTTGAAGAGATGAGACATATTAAAAAGTTTTGACAAATGTTAGATTTTTGGGAATTTTTTAGATAAAAGATTTTAGATAAACAAATTTGCAATAAATCTTTATTAATATAATAACTCAAAACCATGTATTTATAGTAGTATTCAAAACTCTTCTCATTTCTGTGGTACTATAGAGTATTTAGCAATCGATTTTTGCAGAACCATTCTGGTTTCTTTCTTCTCTGCCTTTGGTTATTCGTGGACTGGCTTCGACTTGGAGTTTAGAGTTCGGCTTTTTGTTTACGTTCCCGTTCCCCAGCCCGCTCCCCCTACCATATTTACCCATTTTTCCGACGGTATGCAAAAAGCAACAAACAACAATAACAAAAGTCACGCTTAACGACTGTGACGTCGTCGCGACTTGGCCAGGTTCGAGCCCCCCACCCATCCTACCACTCTTTGTATGGACTGTGTCCAGTCTGCAGATCGGGACCGGCTTTTAAGAGCCAGGCCAAATAATAAACATACAAGTGCCGCATGGCGTGGCATAGAAAAGAATAAAGAGTGGCAGCCGAAAAGTTAAGACCTGGGAGTTGGGGTGTGAATGTGCAGAGACATCTGTGACATACCGGGAAACTTGGGAGTAGCCTGGTCCATTGATTGATTACCGTGGTGCCGTCGTCCATGGGAAACGCCCCCATGGCAAAGGGGTTGCAGTTTAATTGAGATTTATTTATGGTATGTACGCGGCCAAAAGACAAAAGAACCCGCTCTGCAAAACCCAACCCATACCAATCGCACTCCCAATCCCAATCCCAATCCCAGGTCAGGTTCCCATCAGGAGCCACGTCCATAATAACGAGCAAACAATGCGCTACGTTCTCGGGATCTCTGGCAATATTTGGACAGTGGGCAATTGAAGAACTCCAATTGTGTGGCTGCTGTTTCAGTGGTTGTTATCGATGATGTTGTGTTGCCGAGCCACTTCAGCACCACCAAAAGAATGGAATGGGACTATCCAACGGTTTGGGTTGAAAATTGGGTGGACGCCGCCTGCTTGTTATTGTCAATTGTTGGCTATGAGTGGCATTGGTTTTGCTTTTGGCTTTGGGAAGTGGCAGCCTTTGTTTTGGACAAGTTAACAGATTGCAATTGCAATTCCAGGTGGGCAGTCTGTGAGTGTGTGGGTGACATTCTAACTGTCTGAATCTGGCCTGGAATTGGAGAACTCCCATTCTCATACCATACCACACTCCATACCCATCATTGATTTTGGGTTAGGGGCTAAGTGGCATGTTGTGGTCTACTCACAATTTTGGGCCAAGCTTATTTACTAGTACACAGGAAGAAACGGGGATACTTGAACCTCAATTCAAGTAGTAATACTCATTGCATATATGCATATATATAGTATACTATAAATACATAGATTAATAAGGTTTTTAGGAACCAATTTTGTACTTGTATCGAATTTTTTCATCAAAACACGAATTCTTCAGGCAAAAGATATATCTTTACACAACCTTTTTTTTTTGGTATGGGAATTTTGCTTTAAAACGTGAATTCTTTAGTTCCAAACGTTATCTATTTACAAAAACATTATGTTGTGTAGCAAAATTACTGTTTCAAATTATTTGTTTTAAGTTTATTAGTAAAATAGACTTCCAAATCAAAATTGTTTTCCCTGTAGAAGCAACATCAAAGTAAACGCCCACCCCGAGTTCAGCTCGTTAAGCCCAATTAGGCATTCGCAATTTCTGGCTGGTCAGCTCGTTCTATATCAGAGCACAACTTTCACTTTAAATGCGAACAATGGCTACAAATTCGCAGACATAGACTCACAAAAATTGTACAAAAACCACAACAAAATGGCGCAGACAACGGGGCGACAAAAGCAAAATGGCGACTGCTTCCTTCCGGTCTGCCAACAAATATGATTGAGTGGCCAAAAAGAACATCATATCCAAATCCAAAAAAAAAAGCAATCAAGGAAAATGGAATAGAAAAACGTGGATTTTCCTCTTTTCTCGCCAGTTGGAATCGGAATCCCTGGCCTCTTGGCCGTAAAGTAAACCGCCTTCCATAAAGCTGCCATAAAAAGTGTGCTGAGAGGCAATCATTTCCATTTCCCAGAAGTACCTGCTAGGTTATACCAGGTACTTGCAAATTTCCGCAAGCTGCCGCAAATGATTAATGTCAATAAACGCTGGCCGATGGAAAAGCTGGCTGGGATGGGATCATTCAAGAAAGTTGCCAGTTCTTCAGTTCTGGCGAGCCGGCCATGTGGGTCGTGAACCTGGGGAATCGAGGACACCACCGATCCGCGAGCGTCGTGTGGGTGCACAAGTTCAAGTGGTGCGGTGGCTCGGGTGATTCAGGTGGTTCTGCTGGTCAGGTGCCGCGGTGGATAACCTCGATAAGTTGAAAATTGCCGGGCATAGGCATTTACATGCATACACTCGGAAAAAATTGGCAAATATAAATAAAATACGGTTTTGTACGTTGTTTTTTCAGTCCAAATCTTATTTGAAAATTGCTGTCCCAAGTATAAATTATTTGACGATACAACATGTTAAAAATAATATACTATTTTTTTTAGGTTAAGCTTATATAATACTTCAGTTAATTCTTAACTGGGACTCTAGGATAAGCTTTTAAATTGTTGAATCAATTTCACACGGTTTTTATTTGCTTACTGTCTATGTCCTATTATATAAATATAACTAAATAGTTCTTAAAACGGAGGAAAAAACTTTTTTCTTAAACCAAGATTTTTTTTTAATCTGTTGGAGAATTTCCAAGTCTTAGGGAGATTTTTTTGTGCCATTAAAAAAGTTTCTATGTAACCAATTTAGCTGCAAAAAAGATTTTTCTTATGTGTATGTATAGATGCTGCAATTACTGCCGCCATGAGGCAGCAATTTGGTGTGAGCAAAAATCGGCCACGCCTCCCAAGCACGATAATTAGCTGGGCGATCTAATGAGGAATTCGAAAGTGGCAACGCCTGCGCCTTTGGGATATGACAACTGTTTTTTTTCCACTATTTTCTAAACATTTTTTTTCTCCATTTTTGTTAGCCATGCCAGGCATGTCCAGCAATTTCACCGCTCGTTCAAACGGCGGCGGCATTTGCCTATGGTTTATTTTATTTGCCACGTCACTCCCGCCGCACATGCGCAGTTTGCCATTGCTCAGCGATTGTGAATGTGACAGGTGAGCCGGGCCAGGGAAAACCTTTTGGCTTGGGAAACCTAAGCAGCACGCGATCCGTTCCGATTCGAACCTTACCTAACCGAACCGATCCAAAAGTAATGGAATGCTCAGCTTCAAGGGTCATTGTCGTCATGCATGCAGACTGGTGGAGGAAGGAGTCACTCCCATGTGGCTGCCAGGGCCTCTAATTCAATTACCGGGCGACTGCATTCTGAATTCTGCATTCTGGATACTCGCCGGCCCCACACAGCGTCACCAAGTGGAGAGAATCCCATTCGGTTGCAATTTAGCTAACGGCAATTCTGCATTTAAGCCATATTTGGCTGGATCCGGTAAATGCTTTCAGACGCCTTGATTGACAGCCCCAAGAAGTCGTGGAAATTGAGGTGTTGACAGAGTGTCAACCGAAAAGGATCTGGCGGATCCATATGAAACACTGGGGTCCATTTTATTGGCCTTGGAACTTCTGAGCACCTTGCAGAAATACTTTGAGTTTAGGAATCTTTTCAATGTATAATATTTAAGCGCGTGATTTTCAGCAGATGTTTAGGCTTCTGGATAATTTTGTTTATTGGACATACAATAGTTATTGCTTTCGGAAAAATAACAAGGTATGGTCTTTAAAATATGAAATCCTACGTGCCTAAGCGTATTTTTAATTTTAACAACTAATGGGACAGAATAACTCTATGACTTTCTAGTAAAACCAATTTTAGGTTATTTTTAGCAGAAATTGATCTAAAATCTGAGCCTATGTCATACACATAAATAGAAAGTCCAACCTTCTTGCTACTATAATTTCCATTCTACAAGATCTAAAAATTTTAAATATGCGCGCCATCGAAGTACTAAAATCTAAAATACCAAAGTAAAATACCAACTTTATTGGCTCTTCGGCCTATCGTGCTGGCGGTTTTATTAAAGATTCGGAGCACGGTCACACTGCAAGCCAATTTGGAAAATTTCAGCGAAAATTCTGAAAAAAAGAGTGTTTGTGTATTGAAAAGCCTCAGAATTGGCGTGAAAATGACGTCGTTGGACCCGGCGCCGAACAAAACGTGGGAGCTGTCGCTGTACGAGCTGCAGCGCAAGCCGCAGGAGGTGATCACAGACAGCACGGAGATCGCGGTGTCCCCGCGGAGCCTCCACAGCGAGCTGATGTGTCCCATCTGCCTGGACATGCTCAAGAAGACTATGACGACGAAGGAGTGCCTGCACCGCTTCTGCTCCGACTGCATTGTGACCGCCCTGCGTTCCGGCAATAAGGAGTGCCCCACGTGCCGCAAAAAGCTCGTCTCCAAGCGCTCCCTGCGCGCCGATCCCAACTTCGACCTGCTCATCTCGAAGATCTACCCCAGTCGCGAGGAGTACGAGGCCATCCAGGAGAAGGTGATGGCCAAGTTCAACCAGACACAGTCGCAGCAGGCGCTGGTCAACTCCATTAACGAGGGCATCAAGCTGCAGTCCCAGAACCGGCCACAAAGATTCCGCACCAAGGGTGGTGGAGGAGGAGGTGGTGGCGGTGGCAATGCCAATGGTGCTCCCAGTGTGGCAGCGCCTCCGGCTCCAGGTGCACCCGCTGCTGTTGCCCGCAATGCGTCCAATCAACTGCATGTCCACGACACAGCCTCCAATGATAGCAACAGTAATACCAACAGCATCGATCGCGAAAATCGGGATCCCGGTCACTCGGGCACTTCGGCGGCCTCGGCCATCACCAGCGCCTCGAATGCGGCACCCTCCTCGTCGGCCAACTCGGGCGCCAGCACTTCCGCCACCCGGATGCAAGTGGACGACGCCTCCAATCCGCCCTCGATGCGGAGCACTCCGTCGCCGGTGCCCTCCAACTCAAGCAGTTCGAAACCGAAGCGCGCCATGTCGGTGCTGACCTCGGAGCGGTCCGAGGAGTCCGAGTCGGACTCACAGATGGACTGCCGCACCGAGGGCGACTCCAACATCGACACCGAGGGCGAGGGCAACGGCGAGCTGGGCATCAACGATGAAATTGAACTCGTGTTCAAGCCTCATCCCACGGAGATGTCGGCGGATAACCAGCTAATCCGGGCACTCAAGGAGAATTGCGTGCGCTACATCAAGACCACGGCCAATGCCACCGTTGATCATCTTAGCAAGTATCTGGCCATGCGGCTGACCCTCGATTTGGGCGCTGATCTGCCTGAGGCCTGTCGCCTGCTCAACTTCTGCATCTACGTCGCTCCACAGCCCCAGCAACTGGTCATCCTGAATGGCAACCAAACGTTGCATCAGGTCAACGATAAATTCTGGAAGGTAAGTCGCGCGTTAGTCTATATTTTAAAAACCCCAATCTTACTAATACCTATAATTGTCTAGGTCAACAAGCCAATGGAAATGTATTACTCGTGGAAGAAAACCTAAGCAGTAGGAAAGGCGTTTAGTATTAGGTCGTTTATTTCTGAACTGGAAATATTTTTAGATGTAGAGCTTAACACGTATATAAAGCATTCATTATAAAACAAAATACATTTGATTGTAAGTAAAAGTTACACTCATTTATTGGGATCAAGTAATTAAAAAAGTTAGTTAACTATTGCTATTGCCCATTTGATGTAAACGATAGGTTCCTTCGGTACCCATTTCAATATTTTAGCTTTTGCTTATTTAAAATAATGAGTCTGCAAAAGTGCAGCAATTGGTTTCGATGCGTTTCAAATCATTTCCTTCGGTTGTCAACTACGCAATTAACATCCGTTTTCGTTTTTAAAAAGCATTGATCTTTCAGAAGAAAATGTTAATAGAAAGACAACAAATTTTGTTCGCATTTGGGATCAGGTAATTTATTTGCCTACCTCTAGTGCGTAACAACATTACAAAGCGTACAATATAAAAACAACTATATATTTATTGTTAAGTAAAAACTTATAAACCGTATCTGTGGGTTCAATAGAATGTGAGTGTTTGATGAGCCTGGGCTCTAGCACGTGTCGGAAGCCACATTGAGATAGGAGGACGGTTTCCGTTTCTTCGTTGTATGGCTATGACTAAACTATGGTGTTGGATCGAGAGATTAATGGGTGTGGAGGTCCCTAAGGCACTAAGGTAGGTGCAGGAAGGAGCGAGGTTGGGTGCGGTTCTACAAAGGTACCCTAGTGACTTTGGTAGGCGTTGCACATTGAACACATAAAGCATCGATCTACTATATCGATGACTATATCATTTCGGCACCCGACGCATCTTAGCCACGATGGCGTCCCTGAAGTCCCGGAAATCGCTGCTGGCCTCGATCTCGTTGCGACATTTTCCCTGGATGCGATTAAGACCGCAACTGATGTCTGTTCGATTGGCGCTAAGCATGCGCCTGGACAGATCCTGCTCGAGATCGTAGGGCAGACCCAGATCGACCAGTTCGTCGACCTCGTCCTGGGTGAAGGTGCGCTGATTCTCTGCCAGGAACTCGGCGCACTTCTCGTAGATATCCAGGTACTGCTCGGCCTCTACCTTGTCGCCGGAGCGCCTCGTCTCCATGAATTTTCGCAGCAGTCTGGTGGCATCAGGATCCACCAACGTGTGGTGGACATTATTCGTCAGCAAATAGATCCTCTTAACCTCTTCAACGGTCATGTCGCTGCATCCGCAGAAGCACCTTATCCTCTGCAGGGTTTTGTTCTAGCGATATGACATAGAAAACTGATGATTAAGCCACCTCCTGTTGACATTTTTCCATTATCTACCCACCGTGTACGAACTGCAGGCCATGCTGATTGTCTTTGTGAGTGCCTCTTATTTTAGAACTAGCTTACTAATCAGCAGGTGGACACATACGTACTACGTACTTATTCCCGGTAAAAAAAATTTACCAAATTTTATTCGTCAACAATATGGAAAGTGTGATTGCGCAGAGGTGTGCCGAAAATACAACCTTTCTAACGCTGAAGTATGGTCAGTCTAAACTTGCTTGAGATGTTACCCGCACTATTCCAAAGTTAAGAATAATGTGTGAGCAGGAGCCTTATATATGCGGGAAAAATATAGTCATAATGTTATGCTTAATTTATGTTAAAATTGCGTGCTGTTTTTAACCACAAAAATTTGATAGTGACTTGTAAAATGATGAGCTCACACTGAATTTGGAAATCAACAACTTTTATCGTTTGGTTCAAATTTTAAACTGATTCAACTGTTTAAATGAATTGCTTAAAATAATAAAACGACATGACATGCTGTAGTTGAAAATGAACGGATTTTATCTCCATCCTTGTAAAGTTTGAATTACAGAGCGTTATATACTGTTTAAGATCTTTCGAACCGTCCTTGTGATATATCAAAATAACAAACGGATGACTGGACCCAAAATTGCACTTCTAAATTTCATAACTTGGGTAATTGGATCCTGATTTACACGTGGGATACCTCTATGAATTTGTGGTTGAATTTCCTAATGTTCTACATTCAAATATTTCTTTAAAGAGGTGGTCAAAATTTTGACCCATTTTCATGATCGAATTTTATGTAATTCCAATGGTTTCAGAATGGGGACCCAAAATTACACTGCAAAATTTCATAACTTGAGTAATTGGATCCCGATTTATGCGTGGGATACCTCTATGAATTTGTGGTTAAGTTCCCTATTATTCTACATTCAAATATTTATTTTAAAAGGAGGTCCAAATTTTGACCCATTTTCATGTTCGAATTTTACGTAATTCCAATGGGTTTCAGAATGACGACCCAAAATTGCACTTCTAAATTTCATAACTTGAGTAATTGGATTCCGATTTATACGTGGGATACCTCTATGAATTTGTGGTTGAATTCATTATGATTCTACGTTCAAATATTTCTTTTAAAAGGAGGTCCAAATTTTGACCCATTTTCATGTTCGAATTTTACGTAATTCCAATGGGTTTCAGAATGGGGACCCAAAATTTCACTTCTAAATTTCATAACTTGAGTAATTGGATCCCGATTTATACGTGGGATACCTCTATGAATTTGTGGCTGAATTCCCTATTATTTTACATTCAAATCTTTCTTTTAAAAGGAGGTCCAAATTTTGACCCATTTTCATGTTCGAATTTTACGTAATTCCAATGGGTTTCAGAATGACGACCCAAAATTGCACTTCTAAATTTCATAACTTGAGTAATTGGATTCCGATCTATACGTGGGATACCTCTATGAATTTGTTGTTGAATTCCCTATCATTCTACATTCAAATATTTCTATTAAAAGGAGGTCCAAATTTTGATCCATTTTCATGTTCCAATTTTATGTAATTCCAATGGGTTTCAGAATGACGACCCAAAATTGCACTTCTAAATTTCATAACTTGAGTAATTGGATTCCGATTTATACGTGGGATACCTCTATGAATTTGTGGTTGAATTCCCTATAGTTCTACATTCAAATATTTCAAAGTTTTGACCCATTTTCATGTTCGAATTTTACGTAGTTCCAATGGGATTCAGAATGACGACCCAAAATTGCACTTCTAAATTTCATAACTTGAGTAATTGGATTCCGATCTATACGTGGGATACCTCTATGAATTTGTGGTTGAATTCCCTATCATTCTACATTCAAATATTTCTATTAAAAGGAGGTCCAAATTTTGACCCATTTTCATGTTCGAATTTTATTTAATTTCAATGGGTTTCAGAATGACGACCCAAAATTGCTCTTCTAAATTTCATAACTTGAGTAATTGGATTCCGATTTATACGTGGGATACCTCTATGAATTTGTGGTCGAATTCCCTATAGTTCTACATTCAAATATTTCTTTTAAGAGGTGGTCAAAGTTTTGACCCATTTTCATGTTCGAATTTTACTTAATTCCAATGGCTTTCGAAACGAGAACCCAAAATTGCACTTCTAAATTTCATAACTTGGGTAATTGGATTCCGATTTATACGTGGTATACCTCTATAAATTTGTGGTTGAATTTCCTATAAGTCTACATTCAAATATTTATTTATTTTTAAGAGGTGGTCTACATTTTGTCCCATTTTCATGTTCGAATTTTACCTAATTCCAATGGCTATCGGATTGAGAACCCAATTGGATCCCGATTTATACGTGCGATACCTCTATAAATTTGTGGTTGAATTTCCAATTATTCTACATTCAATTATTTATTTTAAAAGGTGGTCAAAATCAAAATCACATAAAAACTGTACTTCCAATTAGCACCATTACTAGTACAACGCCAAAACCCAGGGTTAATATTAAAATTCAAAAGAATCGCACACTTTATTTGGAAAATACATAAAATCAAAAGCTTCTAAAAAGTAAAAAGTCTGCAATTCGATTGCACCTACAGCTTGGACTTGAGGGCCTTCATTAGCTTCTCCAGCTTGAGGGCCTTCTGGAAGTCGCCGCTGATCTTCAGCTTGCCGGTCATGTAGGCGGGAGCCGCCTTCAGCTTGCCGGAGAACATGTCGAAAAAGTTGTTCGAGTTCATGGTCAGCGTGGCATCGGGAGTGGCGGGCGGTGTTCCGGATCCGCAGGAGCCGGAGCCGTTCTTCAGGTCCAGGAACCAGGTTCCCTGCTCGGCACCGCTGATGTTGAACTGGAAGACGGCCTGCGTCTTCGAGACGATCTCGGGCGAGAGGAGAGATTCGATTTTCTGGAACAGCTGGGGTATCTTTGCGCTTTCGCCAGCCGCCGGAGCGGCAGAAGCTCCTCCGGCCGGAGCGCTATCCTCCACCGGAGCTCCCTTCTCCTCCACGAAGAAGTCCACCATCAGTTTGTCGGCGTTCTCGCGGATGCAGGCGTAGTCCGTGAGATCTGTAATTCCCGCCGACTCCAGCACCTCGTCGTCCACAAAGAACTGACCGGTGAACTGCCTGGGCTCGCGGCTCAGGATGGCGTAGGCGGCATCGGCCATGATCTCCGGCTTGCGTGACCACTTGGCGGAATCGGGGCCGGTGAGCATTTCGATGGCCGCCGTGTGGATGGCAGTGCGTGGCCACAGTGCGTTAACAGAGATTCCCTGATCGCGGAACTCCTCGGCCATGCCCAGCACACACATGGACATGCCGTACTTGGCCATGGTGTAGGCCACATGGGGCCCAAACCACTTGGCCTTCATGCTCAGCGGCGGCGAGATGTTGAGGATGTGGGCGTGGTTGCTCTTCTTCAGGTACGGCAGGCACTCCTTGGAAACCAGAAAGGTGCCGCGGGTGTTGATGTTGTGCATCAGGTCGTAGCGCTTCATGTCCGTGCCCGGGGTGTTGGTCAGTGAGATGGCGCTGGCATTGTTGACCACAATATCGATGCCACCGAACTTGGTCACAGCCGCCTCCACGGCGCCGCGCACCTGTTGCTCATCGCGCACGTCCACCACACAGGGATAGGCCTTACCGCCGGCCTTCTCGATCTCCGCCGCCGCCGAGTAGATGGTTCCCGGCAGCTTGGGATGCGGTTCTGCCGTCTTGGCGGCCACCACAATGTTGGCTCCATCGCGGGCTGCCTTCAGGGCAATCTCCTTGCCAATTCCTCGCGAGGCACCCGTGATGAACAGGGTTCGGCCTGCCAGTTTTCCCGTGTTGATCATCCTGTCCAAAGTTTATAGACCGTTTGCCGTGAGATCTCGATTCCCACTGTTAACGGTGATAGTGCTGGAATCAGAGATCCAAGAGAAAGTCCAAAGTGCAGATTCAACCGAATTGATTCACAACAAGTCGCCGATGAGAGCGGCATCTACTCTCTCTCCTTTTCCCCATGGGGTCTTGTTCCCGCTAGGGATGGGCGCGTGTCGGTCCCGCATGAGCACGATACTAGGTCAGTAATATTACTTTAAAAATTAACATTTACTTATACATTTTGTAGCTTCTCATTTAATATTATTTATTTAATTTAATTAATTTCGTCTAATCAAAAAATATAAATTGTTTTAATTGTGGGAGTCAGTATTTTCGGCTAAGTTGGCATTCCTAGTCAAGACATTACCCATGGTAATTAACATAAATAGCCCAGATGCAACCCTTCAGTAGCAAGAATCCGATCCTCGCTAGAATACCAAAAATACCATTTTTATGGATTTTGGGGATTTTGTGCATCCTACATCCACTCTAGACGCCATGATTTCCTCCTCTTTGTCGAAAGCTTCTCCCGAGATCGGTTCGTTCCCTGCAAAAAGTGCTATAATTTTTAAACCCGTTCGCATCCACACATCCGCGTGTGAAATTCTAGGAATTTTGGTTGAGCAGTACGACCTGTTATCACTCCCAATATTGGTGCAGTGACCAGACCCACGTGCAAATTCTCGGAATTGACAGAAGTTTTACAGTCCTCCCTCTGCGCACAGCAAGGAGCAGGTGCCGCGTGCAGCTATTCATCAGCGGAACCATACATTTCTTCAGCGCCAGGCCATAATCGCCATTTGGGATTCTTATACCGCACACCGCGTGAAAGGAATCGGTCTTCTTTGCCACACCTGGATTAATTTCATCATCGGCAAACCATAAGCGGTTTTGAGGTTTTGACCTTGCCAAGCCCGCACCACGATCTACAAGTCAGATCAAGTTGCAGTTCGGGCGAAAAACGCACCGGCGCCGATTCGGCGTAATTCGGGCAAGACAGCGGAGGCGGACGCCGCATCCCAATTGGAATTTGAGTTCCAATTCTGGCTTCCAGATAATTTTGGCCGGGACTGCCAACTCGTTTTTGTATCGCTAAAGCGATCGTAGTTTAATTTTCTTATTTTAAATATTTGTACGACAAGTTTCTAATTTAATTTACGATTCCTATTTAGCTTTTATACGTGCGTATGTGCTTACGACATAGTATGACATATATACACCTAAATTAAATTATCCTACAGCGCACATCGATCGTCATCAGGCCTGCTGACTTCGTTGGAGAGTTCGTAAGTACGGCATAGCCGTAAATCATTTACATTCCTACATATATATTCATTCTTGTCTGAGCCCGCACACTTTTGGTACCAATATATACATGTAATTTTTCCACATTCGCGTATTGATATAAATATTAAATAAGATTCGTTTGCATTTATATAATTTAACGTAATCCGTCTAAGTGATTTCCTGTAATTTTTGAATAAGCTTGCCGCATATCGATAAAATATGTAATCAGTTTCGTAATAATTTAACGTAAACAAAATATCCATTTCTTTTCCTATTTGATAATCTTGTACTGACACTCGATCATATAGAGAGTCTTTTGGCGTAAAGAACGCTTACTCTTAAGGCTTTAGTGTTAGGATTTGTAGTATTAAGAACCATGAACCATATTATCGTATTTGCCGTATTAAATGAAATTTAAGATGAATTAATTTGTGATCTTTTGAGGGCACCTTAGAGGATGTAGCGCAGCGGTTGTTTTAAGGGTGGAGTCTAATGTGACTTCACAGGTAGGGTGGGTATAGAAGGTGGCCAATAACATCTGGGCCTCCGTCTTCGATAGGTACAGTCTCTCGTCCGAATCTTAGCCGATGGGTTAAAAATCCTTATCGTTATCGTCTCTCTGTCTACTATTGTTAGTTCTGTGACACTCTTGTTTCATCTTAACACAAACCCACACCCATCTCCCTGAGCAGGCCGGTCAAAGCGTAGACAGAGGTGTTAGGGTGGACAACGCTCATAGAGTGTGTTCGTTACATAATCTAGAAGACATGTTCGGCGCCATAAGAAGCACGACAAATTCACATCTCTATATTCGATACATTCTGTAGATACATATCGATAAGCAGCTGATACATTAGAGTGACCATGCTATCAAGCACGTCCAAATTTTGGCGCAATTTTAACGGTAAAAAGACTCGCATTCATTGTTTCGATTTGCCAAGTGAAATTTGATGTATTTCTTTAAACACAGTGACTAAACTCACAATTAGAACGGCTACCAAGTACTTTTATTAGTTTCTAACATTATCTATCCAATACAAAAATGGCACACAATGGAAAACAACGATTCGTCTATAAAATTCAACACCCAACACTATCCTTTGACTACTGCAAGTTAATTAGTGGAACCACTTGTGTTCTAAAGTTCGTAGGCCCGGTCGCCGTTCTGTGATTGTTAAATGAGTGTGTCCTCATCCTGCCCCTCGAAGACCATTAAAAGCGAGTGCTGCGAGGGTGAGCGACCCAGGGTCAATCCACCCAAAGAGCCATCCGGCGAGAGAAGGCCCGTCTGCAGGCTGTTGTTGTCCCGATAGCCGGAAGTGGAGGATGTCTGCGAAACCGAGTCCCAGGAAATCTCGCCCAGGGTCTTGGCCTGTGCCTGCTGCGGTGGCTCCTCCTGGGAGGTGACCTATGAAGAGTGGTTATAAGTGGGTTTACATAAGCATAAATAAGAACCACTTACAATGCTGGGTGGCTCCATAGGCGTCAGACGACTTCGCTTCAGCCTGAAGGTCTTCCGGCTGGCCGCCTTGGATCGCTGCAGCCTTGACCTCGTGTGATCCCCGGAACTGTCCTCCGCCGGACTCTCCGGCGAGAGGGGCGTGGTGGAGGTCTCACCGGAGGAGTGCCGGAACTCCACGGACGAAACGAAGCGCAACTTGGGCGGCTGGGCCTTAAAGGGAGCCTGCTGCAACGACTGCGAATGCGAGAGATGCGAGGGCACGGCTGAGGCGGAGGTACCGATACCGCCGCCGCTTGATCCATGGTGACCCGATCCGCTCGGCGTGGGCCCCACCAAGGTGGGCGCCGATCCTGCATCCGCCTCGCCGCTCTGGCTCTCGCTGGTCGTCGTGTGCGGATCCCGGCCCGTGGAGCTGCTCGAGAGCGACTCCCGCGGCGGGTGCAGCGTCTGCTGCGACAGCGTGTCGCTGGGCGTGCAGATCCCGCCGGATCCACTGCGCGAGTCGATCGGCACCGCGGAGACGTGGGAGTGCGAGGCCTGGCCGGTGGTGGTTCCTGTGAAGATAGATATGAGTGAAGGTCTTTGCTGCGACTTGTGGGCTTCAGCCGCACTAGTTGCCGCCGGTGTGTCGCTCTTCTTCTGCTCGGAACTCTCGCGATCTGTGGAGACTGAAACATGAGTGGATGCGTGGGGTGGTGATTGGGAATGCTTTCGTATCATGCGCTTACCGTATCGCTTCTCCTCCAGCTCGTCGCGCAGGTCACGCAGCTCCCGGGCAAGTTCCAGCAGCAGGGCTCCTTTGGACTTGATACCGCCCTGCGGCGGAGTTCCACGCAGTCGCTCCCTGATGATGAACTGCATGTGCCGCTCGTGATCGCCAATCGGTGGTTGGGATATCTGGAAGAGGTGAGTCGTTAGTGTTGACCCATTTTTAGCTATATCTGGGATTTAGTGGTTTCGAGGGAGTAGGGATACATTTGTCAAAACCTAAGGTTTATTAAAGTGCAGGGTTATGTACTTGAAGAAAAAGAAATGGAGGTAACTAATGGTATTGAACCAAAACTAGCAATACTTTTGCTTTAAGCTTTCACCTTATTGAGTTCTAAAATATGCATAAGTACCTATTATAAAAAAAAATGGTAAAAGAACAATATTTCATAAAATAAAGAATTGGGATCACCAAGAATATCATAGTTCTAAAAGCGGAGCGTTATGTTGGGATCATTAAAGCGAGATTTAGGTGGCAGGAAGGAAAGTTACCAAGAATACCACAACGATTAGCAGTCATTCCACTCTCAGCTTAGTTAGTATAAATGATGACAAAAATATTACAATTTCTGGGGTCACCAATAATGACAATACACCCAAAACTTTTGCTTTAGGGTCACCAAACTCGAAGAGCATTTTAAAATATTCAAATGAATAACTACATTAAAGTACAAATTACCTTGTGCAGGATGAAGGGCAGCAGGACAATGTACAGGGGCGTTCGATGGGTCACCACGAACTCCATGAAGCTCCAGAGGTCCGGTGCGGCCTCGTTGCGCCTTCCGAGATCCCTCATCACCCGGACAATGCGAGGCCATTCGTTGGAGAGCCGGCTCTCAAAGCAGATGCACACGATGCGCAGGGCCAGGAAGGCGGCCTGGTAGAGGGAACCGGAGATGCGAGCTGGGCGCTTGGCATCCCGACTGCCGGTGAAAGTGAGCGAGCCGGCGCGTAGGTCGCCGGTTACCCGGTTTATCTGGGGAAACGGCTTGGCCGGTTCGACCCGCCGCGGACTCATCGCATTCAGCACGGCAGTCAGCAGGAAGGAGACGTCCGTCATCTTCAATTCGCCCACGTCGGAAACGCCTCGGCCCGAGCAACCTTCAGACACAGTGGCATTATCAGATGCATTAGAAAGCCTTCGGCCTTTTCCTGCGTGGCAAACTCCGGCACTCCCGCCGCATATCTGGACGAGGGAGAAACAGTCCACGGGGCTGACCACCTGCAGGGCCACCAAACGCACCACGGCCGAGCAGAAAAAGGCCGGTGGATTCTGAGACATGAGCCGCTGCTCCTGCGCTGGAGACTCCCTCGGGGATGCCGGATCCAGGCTCGTTGACGATCAGATTTTGCACCGTACTAATGAGCGTTTTCATCTGCTGCCAGTGCAACACGTACGAGTGCCGAATGATCGTCTCGTGGATGCCCTTCAGCAGTCCGGCGGCCGCCTCCCAGTCCGTATTCCTCCTGATGGATGGCTTCTTTGAGATCTTGAGGAAGACCTTGTCGATGCGCCGCAGGATGGTGACCAGTGCGTTGCGTAATGTATCGTTGGACCACTCAGCCCGCGGAAGAACAGCCTGCATATATCGCCTGCAAGCCCCGGCAGGCCATGGATTCCGGATCGTAGGGAGAAACCTTCGCAGGGAGTGGGCAATGTCCGCCAAACGAATGTGGCACTTGGCGTCCAGAACCTCTGTGGGTTTCGTATCACTTGGCATCTTTTAGCCAGCTCCGCCAGGCGAGCAGTGGACTTGGTCAGGAAATCAGCCACCACGGAGAGCAAAACGTCGCGGGGTCTCCGGTATTCGGTGCGTATCATTTCCGAATCCTCTGCCGAGTCCATCATTTCTTAGTGCGGGCATCGGTCAAGTATTTCGAATGTGACTCCTCCTCAAAATCCAGACCTGGGGAACAGGGTGGTCCCCTGCTGCAGTTGCGCTGCGAAGAGCCCTTGTGCTCTGGACTGTTCCGATAGGGTCCATTGTAGCTCTTGGCCAGACCCTCGCAGTTGTGCACCATGGTGCGAATGGCCACCGCCAGCTGGAGGATGATATCCCGCTCGGACTTTCCCTGCAGAGGAATATAGCTGGGCGATTGGATTTGCTGAAGATAACAGGGTAGGATGGCCTCCAAAATAATCTGAAAGTATCAATTTTTAAGTAAGAATCTTAACACTCGAGAAAGATAGCTATGAACATCATTCGGCTGTTCCTAAATTTTTATATCTTCTAGACATTTCTATCTAAGGAAATAGTTTCACTCACTAGCATTTGGTATCCTCGTGTGCTTTCGGCGGAGTAGGGATACCACCATTACGCAAAGTGTTATGCAATCCAACACCGGTGACGTCGTCATCCTCGTCGTGTAACAAAAGTCAATGGCTTTCAAAGGTTTGGGCTCCTTGACCAGCTCCGCAATATTTAGAGGATCCGGTGAGGGATCCTCCAGACTGAGAAGCAGATTGAACAGACAGCTTGACTGCACTTTGTGGGCCTCACCATAAGTGCCATCTTCGTCCGTGTCGAGAATGGCGGAAACGGAACCAAACATTTGCAGGATGAAGGGCTTCCGGTTCAGCAGATAGAACTGCTTTACAGCGTATTCAATAGTAGTGGTGATCAGCTTGTTGGTCTGATGCAATGAATAGACTTGCAACAGGGTGGGCATTATCATAAAGTAACCGTTCGTGGAGAAGATGTTCTTGAAGTTAAAGGCCGGCGTTGATGGAAGGTGGCCATCACATAGCGCATGATGCACGAATCTCGGCATGCCAGAATGGAGGCGCCGGAAAGTACGTTCAGAAAGAGTTGGATGTCCGCTGAGTAGGCGAAATTCCCAGCCATGGCCTCGAACATGCGGGCGATCAGACGCACCCACATGAACTTGTGCAGGACGTCCAACCCGAGCAGCACCTTTCCGTACTCGCCACCATGGTGCAGATCCAGATCCACCTCGAGTGCCTTGCGCCGGGAAGGAGGGCAGCTTCATCAGCTCCTCGTGCAGGAACACCACCCTCTGCACCACCATGTCCACGTTTTTGAGGATAGCCCAGGTCAAATGAACCTTTCCGATCTCCACGAACTTCTTGGTTAGCTCTTGTTTTTGCAGGGCCAGGAAGGACTCTTCCGGACGCATCAGCATGAGACGAACCTCCGGATATTGGGACCTCTTGAAGAAGTACAAATCACGGATGTACCAATTGGGGTTGAGGATCTTGCCTGGAATACACAATGAATTAACTATAATTCAATGGATATATGGGTGATTTTATCCACTTACTGCTCTTGTAATCTACCAAGCAGTAGTGACTGGTGTTCTTCTCATCGATGGGATAGTAATCCAGGGCCTCCTTGAGCAACTGACAGAACAGAGTGTCCTCCTGCACTGGAAACTGAGAGGGTATGTTGTAGTCATCATCAGCAGGTCCATGTACTACATCTTCTTGGCCGCGGGAACATTTGCAGTTAGTAAGATAGAGCATCGCATTGTCCTTACGCAGAATCTGCTTTAGATCCTTGAACATAATGCCATGAACCGAGTGCACCACCATCCAGAGAACAGATAAAGCTGAGCCAACGAGCTGAGTAATAGGGGTTTGTTAGAAGAATATCTTTATTAATGGAAGAAACCACCTACCTCTTGCTTCAATTCGTTGGAAGATCGCACATAGAACATGATATACCCAATAATGGAGTTGTAAAGGGCAAATGCAGCCTGTTGCGGCAGACGTGGGACAAATCGAATGAGGTGTCGCAGCAGCTTGAACATCTGATCCTGACGATCACGAGTTAGACGCTCGAAAACATAGCGCAGGAACAGGGCTGACTCCTCCACCAAACAAACCCAGATCACCTGGTAGGCTATCTCGTATACCGCATTACCATCCGATCCGATGGCTGCATCGTCCAGACAACCGACAATCTGCATCACGGAGGAGCAGAGGACGGAGGGGAAGAGCGAGTGGGCGTGGTGCAGATGCGAGGACATGCGCGTACCATCCAGATCCTCCTCGATCTCATGGTCCTCCAGCTTCTCCATTCCTGGCTCATGTGAGGCCTGTTGGCTTATGGGTATCATGGTGATCAGGAAGCTATGTCGCTCTGCCCTTTGTTTGTCCCTCTGCTGGCGCAACGCATTCCGAATGGCCTCCGTCTGCTGCATCTTACGGCTCTTGGTGGCGGTGACTAGGGATCTCTAAAAAGGTAAAACGATATTAGGCAATCAGTTATTTGTTCGCTCCTCCCCTCGACCAGTACATAACCCAGTGTCTCGGCTGCCTTCTCACTCACATGTCTATCTTGGTTCAGGGTGACGTCCATGTCCTTGGTCTGCTGCACTGGCATCCAGGGTGGATCCACTACCGGCAGACTTTCAATGCCAATCTTGGGTGAGGGTAGTGTGAATTCAATGCCTCCCGGTGGCACCTTGAAGGTCACATCGTGGGCGTTCTCCTCCATTCGCGGCCAGACATGGAAACGGCACTTCCACAGTACCAGATATCGCTGAATGGCTCCAATCCTTATGTCCGGATCCTTGTGCTTCAGTGCCCGCTGCATGATGTCAAAAGCAAAGTTCTGGGCCTTCACCGAACCCATCAGAAATACGGCTGCACTTGAGGTGGCCGTATCGTGATTCGTTTCTAGGAGGAGTTCCCAGGCGGCGGGCATTGCCTCGATGACCATCTCTTCGGTAAGGACAACAGCTCCCTTTAGCAGGGTGGCCAAAGGAAAGTGGAACAAGTTGCGTATGTGGATGCGGATGAATTTGAGGATTGGTGGTTCCTCCTGCATCTTCTTTTCTTTCTCCTGTCGAAAAGCTTTGGCTAACTTCTCCGCCATTTCCAGGTCGGGATCATCACTTATGCTGTAAATCCTATATTAGTTATGACTCGAGATATTATTTTGGTTTTACCTACCGATCTTTGCGGGACAAGCTATCTTTACGCTTGGACGGAGATGTCTGGGTGGAACTCTGCTCCGATACTTTTCGAGTGGAGCGGGCTCGTGAAGTATGGGGCTTACCGGAGGTGATTATAGTAGGTTCTACATTGGGATGATCCGCATCGAAGGTAAAGCCGAATTCCTCGCCATATACCTAGACAAACAAAATTAATGGGGATACGATGTTAGATCTATGTGATCTAAGCATTATTTCTAATGTCTTACCTTTCTTGTGGCCTTGACCAACCGAGTGCAGGATCGCATGTGTCGTTTATAGCAGAAGGGGTGGCAATATCCCTTGTGAGTACAGTAATAGTTGTAGCTGGACATTAGGTCGATAATAGCTTTTAGCCAGGGCATATTCTTCGCCGTGTCATCGTTCTCATTGGAATCAGTGGGTGACTCCGGCTGCTGATCGTCGCTGAGTATCCCAGGTGACTCCTCTCCACCACTGATCATTCCTTGTTCCGATGTGTCACTGCGATCCGAGAGCGAGGAGACCTTCCTTCGCGATTGCATGTTGACTATAGATTTAATATTAATGTTAGGTATAGGTTATAGAATAGATTCATAAATAGTTTCATTCACTTACAATCGGTTTCTATGTCCTTGCTGTCTTTGGTGTTGCGACGTAGCTTTAGAGAACGACGCTTGAAGGATCCTCCAGTTGTGGTGGCTGTGCCCCGTCTTAGAAGGAAGGGACGTACAGCCGATGCAGTGGGTCGACGAGCTAGGATTCAAGAAAGAAGGTAACCCTATAATACTTTCCTCTCTATAAAGAAAACCCTATCTATACCTTCTTCGCCCTCCTTGGTCAGCGTTGTGTTGCTACTATTCTCCGACTCATTGTCCGGTTCGTGGAGCACGAAGGATATCTTGCGCTCTGACTGGCCGGCTCCATCGTTTCCCGCTGCTATCGACTGCAGGCTCTGGGCGGAGGTCTGCGAGTGACCCATGGAACTGAGGGCCATGGACCAACGGCGGTTGGCCTCGCGGTACACCTTCTCCCAGGGCGCCGGTTTGTCGCGATGGATCAGCTTGGATGTCTTGGGTAGCATCAGATAGGTGTCCCTCAGGAAGGCCGTAATCTCGAAGAGCAGCACACAGGCAATCAACTTCAAGGAGTGCGGGCAATCGTTGCCATGCGGATTCACCGAAGTCTCGTCCAGAAAGTCCTCCTCCTCGTCCTGCTGCAGTAGCTCTCGCTGCTTTTCGGGATCTGTGAGACTGGCATTGACGGCCTCGTACTGCAGTCGCTCGGTGAAGAGGATCTCCTCTAGCCGTGCGCCTACCATCTCAGCCCACTGGTGGAACATCTTTCCGGCAGCCCGCTGCAGGATGTGGGTTCTTCTGGCGCTCGTTTGGCTCACCTGCTGCTTCATCTGGTTGATATTAATGTTGGCACCCGATGCACGGTAACTGCCCACGTTCTGTTTCATCCAGGCGGGCCACTGACCCTTGTTGCACAGATGGACAAAGTGGGCGCACTCCAGCAGGAAGGTGGCCCTGGCTACGAGGGGAGCTTGGGGCTGAGGGAAGCAAGGGTTTAAATTTAGTAAGGGATTACTCTTTCAAATTAACCCTAGTGATTTTAAGCCCGAACAAAGTGATATACTGACCAGATCGAGGACGGCGGCAACCAGCTGGGGATCGGGAAAGGAGCCGGGGGCGCAGGTCTCCAGTAAGAAGGAGAGACGCAGCATGCCCACGCGCACTGGTTCGGTGGGCACCAGCTTGCGCTCCTTGAGGATCACCACCTCCGACTCCCGCGGCCCGTCGCACATGTCCGAGGAGGAGCGACGACTGAAGTCCGCCGTCTCCTCGATGCCACCCACCTTCTTCTTGCCCTTCACAATGCCGCCGAAACGGTTCAGCCGCCGCTCGACGCGTCGCTTGGCGCGCTGAATGGACCGCCCAATGCCATCGCTCGACCGTCCGCGCTGGATCTTCAGCGAGGCGTGCCGCATGAACGTGGAGGAGATCTCCGGGTTGAGCGATCCGATCTCCAGATCGATGGAGGAGGCCTCCTTGGGCGTGCCGCGGAACCAGCGCACCAAGCCGCTGAGCCGTCCCAGCGAATTGCGTTCCGAGCTGGACGTGGAGTCGGACAGCAGGGCTCGTTCGCTGTGCCGCGGGGTCAAGGTGGGTCGGACTCCCGTGGTCCGCCGGCGGAAGTTGCTCAGCGGCGACTGGCTGGTCTTGTAGTGCTCCTCGCACGCCTCCGTCTCCAGCAGGCTCTGAAAAGACACAGGCGGGGATGAGCTTCAGGTTGGGCTTTAAGGATATGGCTCACCACGGCGCAGGCAGATGAGGTGCTACGCTTCTTCAGGAGGAGACGTCGCTGGGAACGGTTGTCGTCGTTCTGCAGGCTCTGGCTCACATTCGCCTGGGGAATGTGTCTGACAAGGTAAAAAATATAGGGAGTTAATAACTAATCCAGGCTTAAGATAACTAACATAGTAATACTATTCATTCTAATGGAAACGGTCCTTAAAGCTTCCATCCACATATTGCTTTCAAGCCTATTACAGGCCTTCAAATATAACATCAACAGTAAAACAGAGTGGACGCCTAATGGTTTACAACTTCCTTTTAAGTATTATACGGTTTACGTTTCATAGTTTACATCTATTAAGAGTTCTTTAATATTATGTGTACCTATTGTAGTTTCTCACCTTATAACGCGAGTGGTCTGTGCCGAAGGACCCTTTTTGTGGGGCCTAGGGGTGACAGCCAGTATTCCGCTGAGGGCCACCAGACGAAATGGACCGCCGTGGGCGCCCTTCACATACGTGACCAGCTGCCGGATGTCCCCGTAGAGGGCTATATTCTCCGGACCCTTCAGATCCTTGCTGGCCTCCACGAACCGGCTGACCAGCGGCTTGAAGACCGCTCCAACCACCTGGGCCTCGGCTCCGCCGCTCATGCCGCCACTAAAATTTGTCGAATAGCCGCCCTGACCTGGTACGCCGCCAATATCGGTGTTAGCATTTTTAAATCCACTCTGACGTTTATGAGCTATTTGCATCATTTCATACATACATACATATATATATATACAACGTATTGGTGGTGACAGTAAAGAATCGGGAGGTTAACAACTCAAAAGCATTAGCAAAGGGTACTGGCATGCAAAATGGATAGAAGAGAACCACAAACAGCATGGGGGATGCGAGTTCCGGGACCGGAAAAGCAAATTAAAAGTCACGGTAAGGGAAGCCCAACTCAAAATGGCCAATGGAACTCAAAAGTCTGGTTGGATCGAGTATACAAAGGGGGGATTTGGTGCGCCTACTTTTGGGGTTTGGCATCCAAGCCCAGCATTTGCGGTTTTTGCTCGACGTCCATCGAAATGGGTCAACACTTACTCAGGGGCGAGAGCAGGGAGCTCGGGTCCACGCAGAAGGCCAGGAAGGCATGGAAGTAGTCGATAAGCTCCGGCAAAGGGGAGGTCTTCACCATCTCCTGCATGAAGCGCTTGGTCCTCTGACCCGCTTGCCTCAACATGCGGGACAGGATTTTCTGGCATTGGTTGCGCAGGAAATCGGCTGGGGGACCTCGAACACCTGGTAATTAGGTGGATAAATATATATATTATGAAGGATAGAAAATTGTATAACATTTTATTTCCCAACTCACCATCATTGCATCCGTGTGGACATCCCAAGACCTGTAGAGCTCTCCTGGTAATACTCATCGAGATCTCGTGAGCATGTTCGCCCAACTTGAGAACACCCATTTCAATGAGTAGTTCGCAAATATTCAAACCCGCTTCCAAAACACGCAGAGAGCAAACTTGTGCCGGATCTCGCTTGAACACATTACTAATGGCCAGCAGGATTATCTCATAGTCAATGCCACCATCGCGTGTTATATAGAAGGAGGATCCCGGAGCCTCCGACTCATCCACACCCGTGTAATCGATGTGAGAGTCCGTGTGGGAGCGCAACATTTGACCACGATAGCGGGTGGTGGTGCTGCCCATTCCCGTACTACCATTACCACCTCCATTTCCACCCACGCCGGCAATACTTCCGCCATTACTCAGGGCATCCAGCTGGGAGTCAATGGATCCCTAATGAAAAATAATTGTTATATCATGCAAAATAACAAGAAATGGCTCAAAATTATATATACATTTATATTATCTTTAGAAAACCAAGGTTACTATATAAATCAAATATATATATTTTCAAGACCCCACACATCATATTAACAGCTCACCTGTCGCTTCATATAATCGGGCGATGGTGTGGGGGTGTGTTCCGTAACCGTAATGATAGGATTCCTAGGGTAAAACGCCGTGGAGCGGACAGGTGGCTTGCGATGGCCTTGGGGCCTTGGGTGGCTCAACGTATCTGTAAAATCTTGTATTTTGTAGGATACGTGCGAGAAAGCGTGTGTGTGGCATTAGTCAAAAAACGGAGTGCGGCAAGCTGAAGGATCAGGGGTAAACTGGGTAAAGCAGGGTGAGGAGGTTTTGGTGAGAAAGAAACAGGCTTTGGACAGGTGCCAAAAGGTAAGCAGGCAAGATATTGGAAGTGGGAAAGATAACTGTGGCCTAGATCACATTAAGCATAGAGTGTTTCTTGGAGATCGAAATATAAACGGTTAGTAACCTTCGCAGACCAAAACTCACCCGCTATCAAGCAGACAGCTGGTTTATCATTGGAGAAAGTAGTAAAAGTCATAGGTTATAGAATATATAGCATAAGCTCGAGAGCAAAGATTGAGTCTCTGAAGAGTGTGGCATTTCGAGAATCGTTTGGAAGTGTATATATGTTTTTGTTTCTGGTGTCAGAGGCCTGATTGAGAGTCAGTGGGGTATTCTGGTTGGGGGATTTCCTTTTACCTGAGACTGGGCATGGATTTTCCCTTGATCAAATTACTGGCCGGTTCGCGACTAATCATCGAAGCAGATCTCGATAGCTTCTTCTCACCGGTATCCAGGCTGCGATGGTACTCCTAAACGTATAATAAAACTAAATTATTATCTTTGAGTTACAAAATTCTTACATTAATATATAACATAGAAAAATCTCAAGCCAAACAAACACCATTTAGAATGGAATATTTATATGGGGGATTATAAGCGGGAGCCAGGCAGGAACACTTAAGAACAGTCCGCTTACTGCATGTTGCAGTGGTGTCTTGCCATTGGCTGAGCTTGTATCGAGCCCTACTTTTTCCAAATTCTTCTCCGACTTGGAGAACATCTTGGTCTCTACAAAGGCTCTCAGATCGGCCATTTTAACGCGTTTCTTCTTCTCGCTGCCACGTCTTTCGGTAGTACTTGGGGCACTCTGGGGTTCTTCTATATGGGGGGATAAAAATTCATATTATAGTAAATGTTTTTGAAATTCTAAGAACTTATAGTCTTACCTGCTACACATGCTGTTACTGTAGGCGATGGATCGGGTATTTCAATGTAATCCTTAACCACTGAGCTACCGGGACTATCACGACTATTGCTGCCGGGTCCTTGGTACAGTGAAATCTCAATTTGTGGTATGGGCAAGGAGTTTGACCTTTTGCGAGGTTGATTCAAAGTAATGGCCGCCTCCTCACCAATGTCACTAAGTCTGTAGTGGGAATATAAGTTATTTTGATAGATTGATTTCTTATCTTGGCTACCCACCGATTATATAGATATTGAAGGCTCCAGAAGATGCCCTCCTCCTGCCAATGGGAGATAAAGAGACACCGCAGAACAGCCACATCCAGAAAAGTGGCTGCCGACACATCTGCCTTGATACTCTCTGACTTGTCCGAGTCCGTCTCCTTTTCAATGGAGGCACTTCGCTTTTCCTTCATCGAGGCACCGCGCATCAGTTCCTGCTGATCGAACTCGAACTTGGTAGAGGGCACCTTGTCCTTATCGCGGGAGTTCATCGACTGTCGACTTCCACGACGACTCTGGGATTGCTGCTGTTGCAGCAGACTGGCATCGGCCTGGAAAATCGAATATAACCTTTATACCATCTGGAAAATAGGAACTTAATGCAATGACTTACCGTAAAGAAGGAGTTATCCATAAGTTGTGGCGCCGAGGGCAGCCTAAATATGACCACACGTTCATCTTCCACGCTGGAGGCTTCTTCTGGAATGGTTTCGGGAAAGGCAAATTCCTTGGGGGAAGAAACCCAAGAGCCCTGTATGACAATCAAGCCTATAAGGTTATAAAACTCCTTGGTTTTTTAACAAACATACCTCCTCATCCTGTCTTCCATAGTCAGAGATACCGCTTTGTGGAGAGTCTGCTTTTGGAGACATGGCATCTGCACTGAGGGAATGCTTGCGGGCAGGAAAGACATCCGTAGATCCTTTTGGAGTGGGTGCACATAGGAGATTCCTGGCCTTGGGTTTTACAGGAGCTGTAAAACATGGGGCACCAGGTGCTCGGTTATCCCACATTCCCTGCCAGAGTTTAATGCCATTCTCCAGGCGAAAGTTCTGGAAGTCCGATTCTTTAAGATGGTGTATTATAGGTGCAAAGAGGTACACAAAAAGCTGGAGAGAGATGGAAGTTATAGATGTGGTATGGTTATAATATACCATAACTCACCGTAATAGTTGGCACCGAGAATAAGTATTGATCTATTGACTTGGACTTGGGTTCGGCTGCATCGCCCAAAGCCAGATCCTCGCCGCCCTCGTCATCGGCACATTCCTCGGCGGCATAGAGAAGGATCCACTGCATGGTGTACAGGAGTTTGGTCTCCACGGGCCTATGGCCTGCATGTCCTTGACACGATTGTAGAGTAGAGCGGCACAGGCGTGCATTACATGAGGAAGTGCTCCTTGCAACAGGCGCCATCGGGGAATCACACCCAATTTGGTCAGAGGAGGTGAAGACCAATTGGATGTTCTGCACAAGCACTTTCTCAAAGGACTACAAAAATAGGTTCCTAAATCTTTAATCCCATACATATTTTATCTGGGACTTACCTTGCAAGCTTCCTTCGACTCCTGAACACCGAAAAGTGGGCAAGAAATGGTTACATTTTTAATAAGGAACTTAAAGAGCGTAAGATTTAAAGCTACCATCATTACAGCAAATGAAAGGGTTCTTAAGACAACAAAAATATCTTATAATAGTTACATGAAACATCAAACATCTACAATGTAAGTTCATAGCCTCAATGTACTAGACATTATTCTACTAGCTTTACATTGAGCCAACAAACTTTAGGGTTTAACAAAAAGGGATTATATCTACCACAAACATTTATAACTTACATGGTGTCCCGGTGCATGTTGACAAAACTACATTCAGATTCAGACAAATTGCGAAAGATTTTACAATGTTAATTTGTACAGTTTGTCATTGTTATTGTGATTTTAGTTGGTTTTTGTGTTTAAAGCATACTGAATGTGGTTATACACAAGGCAGGAAAAGATTTCAAGCCCAAGTTAGATTTGAAAAAAAGTAGAGCATACTTTTTGGGGTAGTCTTGAAATGTTATACATTTTAATTAAAAACTTTTCCTGTTTTGGCATAAATGAAAGACGGGTCTGTTGTTCAGTTTGTGGAAGGTGGCCGTGTTAGTAGTTGTTTTAAGAAAATAAATCAAATGCAGGAAAGTATATAAAACATCAAACATCAAAGTTAAGATTGAATTTAGGCTTCCAATTTTCCATGATTTTGGTCTGGGCGAAATCAAAAATAGAAGACATTGAACACAATTTTTTGGGTTTACTTCGAATTGGTTGTTGTGCCAATCTGTATGCCAATGAAATGGGTTTATTTTTTGGTATGTTACACAGTCCATCCTTACAACAAACACGCATAGCGAATATACAGCACCCATTTTCAGGGGGAAAATGTTTCCTTTTTTTGGCCTTCGTAGGTTCTTTTTTCCTCTTTACTTTTTTGGCAAAGTCTTTTTTTTTGGGGAAACCCAAGCCAAAACTCACCAGACAGGTGGACTCGTGCAGTTTGCCCAACTTGGGCCGGATGAAGGGCGCTATTTGACGCCACAGGAAGGTTTGAACGGATACGGGTAAGCCAAGGTCCTGGAGGCCACTATCCTGGTCAAAGTCAAAGTCATCGTTGTTGTTGTTCGCCCCATGGCTGTTGTTGTTTGTCTGTAGGTTGTTGTTGTTCGTGGTGTTGCTGGTTGTTGTGGCAGCTGTCCCCGTTCCGGCTGCATTGGTGGTCACCATGGTGGAGTTGGTGGTGGCCAGCTGGAAGGACACAAAATTCAAATGGCGTGCAACAGCTGGCCAAGTGAGAGTCATTCATGAATATAACCATATACGTTTATGCAACAGGTATTTGCGTGCGCAGGCTCGTCACGCTGCTCCTGTTGATTCTGGTCTGTATTTTCGACTAGGTCAGTGCCACATCCATGTGGTTACTTCCCCCGCCTCCAGCAAAATATAAAAAAAAACATGAAAACAAAACAGAGATTTCGGTCCTGGGACGCTGCGCAGAACGCAGACTCCGCAACGAGGCGACTGGGTTATAGATACAGAACTGGGTTTCTGGTATACATGCTAATTTGGGGCACAAAATTTTCACAGACTTATATAACCCGAGATTTGGGTTCTATGGAAAATTTCACTTTTCTTCCATTATCTTTACTAAACGTTTGTCAATTGTTTTTTGGCACTTAAGCACACACTCAAATCAAATGTGGCCAACAATTCGCTTGATTGGGCCGCACCTTCGCGGAAATCGCTTCTGGCCATCAGTTTCTTTATACTTCAGTTAACTGGGCTGGGCTATATGGACATTCGCTAATTGCTCAACCTTTCACTGGCGGCCGAGCAGGGACCGTGTAGCACTTATTGTTTGATTTCAATTTGTGTTTTTTATCCAATAGCCCCTGCTTTATTTTTCTGCAGCACAGTTTTTATGGTTCTGCAAGGGCTTACCTTGATTTGCGCGTAGCCAGTTTTGGATAACGTTTACTGCTGGAGCGTTCGGATGCAACTGAGACAAGCGTCGTTAACTGACGAGCTCTGAGCTCCTGTCGTTGTTATCCTCTCCGACGCCCTCGTCGTCCAGCTAGCCATCGTTTCCAATGCCGACAGCAGCAGGCCAGCAGTGCGTATACAGGATATTTCGAGGAGAGCGACTTAACCACCCGCACTCCATATTAAGTATACGCATGGCTGGGGCTAAAAAGGCTGCTCTCCACTTAGAGGGTGTCCTTGCTCTTGTAATTGAATGGTTTCGTATGCCTTTCGATCAGGACACCCTGTTTCTGAAGCACACTTATCAATGATAACAAATGGCAGAGGGTGGATATTGCGTATACGCGGGGTGGCCAGTCATTAAATTCCTTTGTCTGCGTTTCTTGGGGGTGCGTCTGCAAATAAATGGATGAGTATTTAAGCAGTAATCGGCAAACATAAGTCACTGTCCTTTTGGACTTCTGATGGAATTAAAGCCATTCATATGTCTCTGTCAAGTAATTAATATATTTGTTAAGTGAGCCTCTTTGCTTTAAACTTGTTTAAGAGGTGGTGGATTTTATTATTAATTAAGTTAAATTGTTTATGAGTTTCTATTATTGTAAACACTTTATTAAAGTACTCAAACTTCCATCTTGATTTTCCTTACCTTCTTTTATACCTTTTTTAAATAGAATACATATTTTTAAAAATACCATACTGTATTTTTTGAGTTATATAATATTGACTGTTTAGCCAGCACATTAAACTCTCAAAACAAACTTTTGTTTATAAAAATATGTTCTATAAATATGCCTATGATTTCACAATGTGAAATTCACATCTCCCAAGCGATTTATCAATGACTTGCGCACTTTAATCTGCGCAGATTCGCCGCATCCATAGGCTGCTGATAACAGCTGTTTAATTAAGGACCAAATCGGCCTAAATCTCGATGCACCAATTACTCCCTGGCCAACAGGTGGCCTCCAAGGAGTAAACAATAATAAAGCCAGGGAGGCTGCGCAACCAAAAGCCGAACCGAAGGGTCTATTGACAGAGAGAAGGGCTGGATGACACCCCAGAGAGTAGGTTCCGACGAGCAACAGCCGGAAGTTGGCAACACAGCTGGGTTTAAAACTGGGCCAAAAGGAGGGCCTGTCTGATGGGCACGTACATTTACATAGAATGTCAAGGACAAGGACATGGACATGGATAGCCGGCAAAATGCCAATGGCCTGTGTGGAGCTTAATTACCATTTCCTGGCCAGTTTGTCTAGTTTTGCCATCATTTAAGCACCTCCTTCACCCCTTAGACTTAATCAAGCATTGTGTGGCTTTCTTTTATATACCTATGTGGGTATATAGCCTATGCAAAAACCCAAACGAACATTTGTTGCTGTACATTTTTGCTCTGAATACGCTTCGTGTATCTGTGTCATAGTTTTTATAAATAGCACGCATTAAAATGTTGTAGAGACGGCACACAATAAGGCGCCTGAGGGCCAGTAATGCGCCTTCTATGTAGATGAGATGCCAACGATGAGGAATATAACTTTTGGAACAGCTATTCTATAATATAGTATAAATATTTAAAAAAAGGCTTTCAGGTGTTCAGGCGGCCAACAAACAAGAAATCGGGCATTTAACACCCCCACGAACGACCGGCTGACAAAACATTTCGAGTGATAACACGCAAGACCTGAGGAATATGTTCGAAAAAATTCTCTTACGCCGCGGGGCTTGCCAAAAAGACGATCAGGGTCGATGAGTGTATAAATATATACATATAGATGCCAAATACATAGTACATACATAAGTAGTAGTTGTAGAACCCCCTCCATGGAGGCACCAATCTATTGCGCAGTCCTAAACAATAAATTCCCATAACCAACCCCATCCCCCGAAAAAACTACACATGTTGCCCAGAAAATATTATCTGCAAAATCATCTGTAACGTCGAATGATATTCAACACTATCCGGCTGGGAATGCCACAAGCGATTATTATTTTGCCTTCACGAAAAAATAAAAAGAAATTCACAGAATTACCGAAAAAACAAAATGTTAAAAATAGCCCTAGTCTTAGAGACACAGAGAGGGAGAGCTAACAACAAATGGCTCTGGCTCCATAGGAGAGACCACATATCGTTGGGTTCTGAAGATCCCCAAAGAGAGTGGCATTCGAAAAAGTTCCCCAAGATGAAAGTAAATTCTTGGCATCGTACATACGACCGACCATATATTATAGAGTGTGTATAGCCTTGCGCAGGAAAAGAGCGAGCGTTTCGTCATCCATTCGTGTTCGTATTCGGCATCTCTATCCGTATCTGCAAATGTATCTGTATCTGAGTGCTTCGGCGATCGACTGGTTGGCTTTCACCTCAGAATTACCTTGCCGTACTGCCGCTGACGAATAACGTTCAGTCGAGACCGAGCTCATCCGCGATACAGTTGATTTTCGCATCAAACAGACAAAATGGTGAGTGCTCATTTCGGCCAAGGAATCTTCATCGAATATCCAGTGATACACATATATATATATATGCACTACCCAAAAAGATATATTTCCTACACTCAAGTTAATTCAAAACTCTCTCATCCTTTTCCGTTGACAGGCTGATGTTCCAAAGCGTGAAGTTGAAAGTAAGTTGTAAACCCGCACAAAAAGGATTATCTATAACCTCAAACGTCAAATCCATCAAAGTAAAACGATTAAATTATAAATAAATCTATGAGGAAACAGGAATAACCCAGCCAAAGGACTAAAAACCAATACAAAAATGCCGAAAAAATTGATTACATAATGTGCGCGTGTGAGATACACAACAAAAAAGTACACAAAATGTCGGTGAACATATTTCGTAATCACTTGGAATATATCGCATACATATACGCGTGCCTATATTTAACACTATGCGGAAAATTTTCATTAAGGAATGTCGTCTATATATGCATCGCCTGGTCTATTTTCATCGATCCGCAGATGAACGTTGAACCAGAACAGTTGCCAACACAATTCCGGTAGACCTATGTAAATCTAGTGCAAAGTTAAGTTTTGAGTTATAGAAAAACCGCGGAAAACAACATGAAAATCGTGTGTGTATATGTCGGAAAATACGAACGGGCGATCGTCTTCGAGTCGAAATGCTGCTGCTGGTCGTTTAGAGATCTAATTTTGGCCAAGTTATTTCTTGAGATTTATTTTCGATTTTCGAAACGCACAGAAAAATAGAGAGGGAGAAAGAGAGAGAAGAGAAAACTACGATATTATACCATATAGTATATGCGCTGTGTATATAGCGTAGACGAGGGCGAAGGCGTTCGGTTCGGGTGTCGGATTACGTATACGTAGTGTGTTCTTCGGGTTGGCAACTCTCCCAGATACCACTCACGCATACACACTCAGTAGGACTAGGGCCCAGCCATGTCAAGATTTTCATGATGACCAAAAATGTGCGTACCAGAATTTTTCAGGGTTACCACATCGACCCCATTTTCGAAGGGTGGTGCCAACACCCACTATCTAGCCCCTAACCTAAAGTATTTTTAAAACAATTAATGAAACGGATAAAGAAATAAACAATACTTATGATGCGATTTACGTTTGGATCTGAGGATATACGAAATTCTAAACAAATTAATTTTTCGCGCAGATGTCGAATTCGTTTTCGAAGTCATGGGCTCCCCCGGCGAGGGCATCGATGCCGTCGACCTAGGTGATGCCTCCGCGCCCTGAACTTGAACCCCACCTTGGCGCTGATCGAGAAGATGGGCGGCACCAAGAAGCGCAACGAGAAGAAGATCAAGTTGGATGAGTTCCTGCCCATCTACTCACAGGTCAAGAAGGAGAAGGAGCAGGGCTGCTACGAGGACTTCATTGAGTGCTTGAAGCTCTACGACAAGGAGGAGAACGGCACCATGATGCTGGCTGAGCTGCAGCACGCCCTGCTGGCGCTTGGTTAGTATAACATCTAAATCCTCCAAAGATCTACTTACTTAATCTTAATATCCCCCTCTTAAAGGTGAGAACCTGGATGACGAGCAGGTTGAGTCTGTTCGCCGACTGCATGGATCCCGAGGATGATGAAGGATTTATCCCCTACTCTCGTAAGTATTCGTATTCCCTGAGTGACCCAGGTCCAATGTTTTATGTATATGTATACGATTTGTAAACGCTGTTTGTCTATTCCACATGTCACTCTTTGTCTGCGCACAAACCAAAAATCCCAAAAACCACTCTGCACTGTGCACTTTGTACCAACATCTCGACCTGAAAAAAAACCCCAAAACTATCCATGTTTGCGTGTCAATATCACAACCATTACACTTGAAAAAACAAATACCAACTCCTGAATGTCAATCGAATGGTGTCTGCACGATGATTGCGTCTTGTTTCCCCGCCGTATGTCGTCGATCCAAAAAAAAAAAAACCAAAACAGAGTTCGTCCAGCGCCTGATGAGCGATCCAGTCGTCTTCGACTAAACAGTAAGTAGGGATTGAGCCCAGGCCCTCTGCCCCCAGTCCGATGTCTGGATGTCTACTTGTCCAACGATTTCGATAATCCCCTGCTAATAATGCCCTCTTTTTACCCTCTATTCCACAGCATTCCTCGCCAGAATGTGTGACAGACCAGATCAGCTAAAATAGTTGAAAACAACAGCTTCAAACCAACTACAACAACACCAAACTTTTAGCGACAACCATTCTCCATAGATGTTATATTCATCGCTAACTCTCTCTATCTCTCTCGTATATTATTTTAATTAAAAATTACTTCTGCTACTACAACTGCAAAATTGAACTTCAAGATAATATTATTTTTTAAAAAATAAAAAAATTTAAATTATAAAATAACGAAAAAAAACTGAAAAAATTGAAAGTTTTGTTATGAATTTTTTTTGTTGGTTCACCCAAATAGCAAAGCAATGATTAATGATTATTTTATATGAGACGTAAATAAACCAAATAGCAAATAAAATAATGTTTAGGCAAATTCAACATCCGAAAGAGCCAAAAAAAAGAGGCAGTAACCAATTGTGTTACTTGTTGCCTTCTTTAAGCCTTCTCAGTTTACCATGTGAATGTGTGAAAGTGAAATAAGTCAAATGTATTTAAATAAACACTAAGAATAATTGTGCGGCCGAACAGGTGTTGCACAACCCATGAAAAAAGCGTTCAAAGGTGGTAAAGGGGTGGGATAATCCTATGAAAACGGCCTATTTTACGGGACTCTTATATCTATAAAAGTTTTGGTGTGCTTGTTTATTTGTTATTTCCCTAAAGCTATAAAAAAGTAAATAAATATCTCATCAAGATATTTCGTCAATAGAGTAGGTGCTCTTAAACTATTTTTAGACATTTTTGAAAGGCATGAAATATATACCTAATGTATAGATTGAGATATTTTCGAGGTGAAGAAAACTATAAAATATAGTTGGTACACAAACCACTTTTTTTGAAAAATATTTTCTAAATAGGAAACAAAACATTTAAAAACTTAAAAAAAAATATAAAGCCAAACTCTTTACTAAATGTTTTTTAAAAGGTTGCAACTTTTTTAACTTTAAAAATTTAAATCAGCTGATTTTCGATTATTTTAATTTTTATTATTTATATTTTTTAAATTGTTTCTTAAATTTTCTGAGAGCTTTAACAAATGTTTTTTAAAGAACTTTGAAAAACTTGTATGGTTTGTGTCTTCGCTTACGTTTATTTCTTACGTAGCGCAAGCTTACGTCCTACGTTTGCGGACTTTAGTTAAAATGAAATGAAAATCAGTTGAAAACGAGATAACAAACTGAAAAGCCGACGTAGCGGGTGCTGTCTCGCCGATTTAAAATTTGCACTAGCAAAAATCCAAATAAATTAGCAGAGTGCCAGTGAAGTGTGTGAGCGTGAGTGCAAAGCGTTGAAACATATGTAAATATTGTCATTTACGCCAACGAAAAGAATATATATTTATTTTCGTGAGCATTTTTCAGCGCTCTGCTTTTGGTGAAAAATAATTGTATTTCTATTACAAACCAAAGTCGACCCAAAATCATTATTCCAATAGCTGAAAAACAGTGCAAAGTGCAAAGCAAAAGTAAAAGGACTAGCCCAAAGATACACACACACAGAGGGAAAAATACCGACAGATCTGAAGAGGTCCTTTGAGTTTTCCCGTGAGTGCAACAAATACAGGCACGGTACACACAGATACACAGATATCAGCCACACACACACACACACCACTCGTTCGTACTTTCAATATGGCGGATGTCCTGGAGAAAAGCTCCCTGCTGGATGCTGTGCCACCACTAGGCGAACCCCATTCCACCCACCGCTGCCCCACCAGCAGCTGCAACAGGAAGCAGCAGCAAATGCCGCACCACCAGCAGCACCACAGCAACAACAACAGCAACCACCACCACCATCGCATCAGCAACCACAACAACAACAGAAGCCTGCAACTGCGAGGGCTAATCAGGATCAAAAAGGTGAGGGGGGTCCCTAATGCACTGAAAGATAATAGATACGTTGGGATAATATTTGTTATGATTTTTCGAATCGATTTCAATACAAAAATGTTGTCAAATTATTACATTTTACGATTATACATAGAATAAAAATACTTAAACCAGGAACAAAACGGTGAGGGGATGCCTAATGCATTGAAAAATAAAAGATACGTTGGGATAATATTTTTTAAAGATTTTACGAATCAGTTTTGATATAAGAATGTTGTCGAAATACTATATTTTATGATTATACTAAGTACAGGAATAGCTTTAACCAAGATAACATGATATGATATGATAAAATGGTTATAATTTTTCGATTTATTTTCGATATTGTTGTACGTTCAAAATATTACATTTCAATATTATAATATCCAAATTGTTTTCATTTATATACTTCTGATTTGTCGTGTTATTCAAAACCACATAGGATCTCTTAATCATGATAGCACTATTACTTAAAATCAATAGTGATAGATTAAATAGCGATATATTCGGTATAGTCGACTCATAAAAAAGCTAGAATCGATTTCCATATATGTACCTATTACCTGCAACTATCTTATATACACCGAACTTTTTATTATCTCTGTACTAAGTATACCTGCACTTAGAAGTAAAAGTGACTTCACGGCGCATTACGCATACGCCGTGTGTGCTTTAGAAAATCAATTAGGAAAGTTCAAGGCACGCCCCTTCAGCCCAGTTGCATTGGCGTTAGCTATGGCTCAATTAGGCAAATTATATTGCCGGCACACCCCTAGGACATTGATGGTTATGTCAGGAGAACATGCAGACTCGACTCACGTCATGCCCGCCACATTATGCAAATAGATTTAGCCGGTTCAGTGTTCTGTTTGTGATCTGTTTGGAAAGCAGCTTAGACCGGCAAGTTTACGGCTTTTAGGCCTCGCTGAAGAGGGCTCGACTGCCGGCAGGATGTGGAATGGGCCAGGATGTGGATGTGGCTTCATTGTCCGCCCGCAGCTCTCGGTTTAATGACCTGCAACTGTGGCAAGTTACCACCCCTTGCAGCTTTTAATTGTGCCTAATGCCCGGTGCCTCCAGTTCAGCCCACTGTATTGCCTAGGTATGTACAAGTGTGTATCTATCAGATATATAGATATGGCTATAGATACGTATAGCCGACTGCGATAAAAGTTATCAGCCATTCGAGCTTGTGCTAATGCCGCTGCTGCACTCAGAAAAAGATTATTCCTGACATTGGAAAGTAGCCATAAGTCAGCGCAAAGCTCCTAAAATCGTAATCTATATTTTATTACTTTATCACAATTCCGGAAAAAATGTTATAAAATACTATAACACATATAATAATACAATACCTTGATATGCCAACAGTTGGCCATTTATGGTTGCATGCATTTTTGTATCATAACAAAATGAATTCAAAAACATTAAAACAAATTAAAAATTAAATGGTTTGAAATTAAAATAATTTCTACCAAGTGCTACTTGAACCCAGGACCATCCCGAGTGTTTAAGCTATTAGACATAACGTTAATGTTTCTCTGAGTGCACTGGTGTTGTGGTCGCTCTGCATTTGACCTCGTTTCGAATAAAGCTTTGTATACCTTCCAACGGGGTCATTCAGTTGGGCAGAAATCACTACCATCAGCTGCTTAATATCTATATTAAATTTCCTGTTGGATAGGGTATTTCCCACACGACTTGGATCCATTTCGGAATTTAGCTAAAACAGTTGACTTCATTAGGGCACCAGCAGTATGATATGTGTGCAGCAAAAAAGATAAACCCCTGCCTCGTTTGATGATTAAATCAAGTGTGTTCAAGTCAAGAGCAAACCGGCTCTGCTAAATAATAACAGCAAAAAAAAACAATAGGGTGATACTATAGCTTTGTTTAGAGCGAATAATAAAAGTAGAAATATAGTTGTTGATTACTATCAGAGCTCTCAGCCACATGAAGTCACCCGCTCTATATCATCTAGATTATAAATGGCACTCGTTCGTGTTTTACGTGTTGATAAGCAGGTGGGGAAAGGCTCTCTACTTTCTTTGTCCAATCATATATTTATACCTGATATTAATATTCATCGTGTGACGTAATAGTGCTGCTCTATCGAAAACAAACCCATCTATTCTCTCGTAGTATTCTCACCGACTTTATAAATAGCCAAGATTCGCTGCAATTTCTGTCACCCATTTCGCGGTGGCTTTTCAATTATCACAAAACGCTGCCAGTTTCGTTTCTCATTTGCATTTGGCGCTGCAATTGATTTTCGCCCCATGTTTTCTTCTCTCTGTCTTTTGGGTTTTTCTTGGTTTTGGGGGCGTGTGCTAGTTTTTCCTATGTAGGTATATACTTTTTTCTTAACGGAAAGCTTTGAAAACTCTGCTAATTGTTAAGGTTTCCGCTTTGAGAAACAATTACCAAATATTTGGAGCCATATTTGTGGGGCACACCTCAACGCAAACTATTCGAGCAAGAAGAATTTGGACTTTTGGGTTTTGATTTTGTGACTTTGGGATACGCATGACAGGCCCATATGGTCTTTGTGATTAATTAATTAGTCGGTAAATCAATTAGAGAAAATGTAGCTACCTTATGGCTAATTTCTTGACTAGATAATAGTAGAATTAGCATGCACATGGTGTTCTACCGACATTCATTAAGTTGTTATTTCGCCTGGCCTTTTGGCATATTAATGCATTTTGTATCTGGTGGTTGCATCTCTAGGTTTGCGGCATACTCAGTGCCTGATTAATTAATTTTAAAAATTAAAAGTTTGATCAATAAGGTGGGAACCCAAAAATTAATAAAGGACTACGGCCTGTTGGGTGTTTGCTTAATTGTTTTTCCGCGAACAAAGTGTCGCTAGACACGCGACACGCAAATCCCAATCCAAATCCCTTTCGGTCCGTGTTGCCCTCTAATTAAAGCCACAAAAGAGTTGTCAAATGGCTTCGGCGGGGAACATCGAACCTTGCCAAGTTGGCACTTCCAATTCCAGTTCAATAAACTCGGACAAGGAGATAGCTTTGATTTCGATTAAACTGGAACTTGCCCGATTTTCCACGATTTTATGGGCAGCTTGCACTTTCCCCAGTCGGGGGGAGGTCTTCAGTTGGGTGGGTTACCCAATCCCCATACCAATTCCCATCCCAGTTGGCTAATGCCTCTTTCAGCAGACGCCGCATAATTTGTTGTTCTGGTCGAAGTTGTATATCCAAGTCCATATTGGTTTCGCCAGCCCCTTTTTGGCTGACACATCGTGCGTGCGGCTGCCGCACTGACAATTGCCACATTTTGTGGAAGGCAATCAATAAATCGAAGTGCGTCAAAAATACAAATGTTTAAGTTACCAAACCGCCAGCCAGGTCGACCATAAATAAAGCCATGTTCGACACGAAATACGCGCCACCAGAGGTCCTAGTCAATAGAGCCATAAATTTGGCTCTCGATTAATTGATAGGTGTCGCTGGAAGAATAAAAACCATGCTATTAACTTGGGATTATAAGAACAGACCTCAATACATTTCTATATGTTTTCTGTTATTAGTCAGAACCAAAAAAAACTACTCATGTTTAATTATAGTCCTAGTCAATGTAGCCATTAATTTGAGTCTTGTTTAGTTAATAATGTACGTGAAAGAATAAAAACTATTGCATTAACTTGGAAATATAAAAACAATGTTAAAAGCATTTGAAGGGTTTTCTGACTAACCAAACATTACTATCTATATTATAGAATCCTTTATGAGTAAAATGTATATCTAAGCTTTCTGGCCAGTTATGCACTTATGAGAAACTATGAAATATATAATATCGACAATTATTCATGTAATTAGATCCAAATACTGAACCCTCAAGTAGGATTGCCAAAAAATGAACGAAATTTAGACGTTGTTAGGGCGAATATTCAATCGTTAATGATTTTATTCATCTCTTAATGACTTAGTAGCGGGATCCGCGTCCAAAGCCTCCGCGGTATTTGAGCTGACCGGTTCCAGGTCCCACATCGCCCTTCTTGTCCAATCCACCATCGCTGGGAGCACGACGGTAGGTCGATCTATCCTCGTCGGTCTTGGAGGGTACTCCGAATCCTCCAGCTCCTCCTCCACGAGGCCCTCCAGCTCCAGGACGCGGACGCGCCGTATCGGAGCGAGCAGGACGAGTCAAAGTGGAGGGCACGATCTCCGGTGGCAAGTGTAGATAGCTGCGCAGCTGCTCGATTCCCTCGTTGGTGAGGCACCAATAGAAATGCCTCCAGGCGAACTGCTCCTTGACCCAACCACGTGAATGGAGCGACTGCATGGCCTTGATGACTTGCAGATTCGGAATCGTTTCCAAATCCGGGTGCTTCAGGACACGAGTGTCCTTCTTGGCCACGATTACGCCCTCCTTGAAGAGGTACTCGTAGATGGCGATACGATTTGCCTTTGGAATGAACATTTTTGGAATGTTTCGATTGAAATTTAAGAAAATTGCGGAGACGCCGAACTTATTTTAAAGGGAAAACTTCGATAATGTGACCGGTCTTAACTTCTAACAAAATCTGATAGGTCTATATTTTACAGCCATACTTTTCTAATCACTTATCGTTTTCAAACACTAAATCCAAATATCGAACTCAAAGTAGTACCAAATTCTAGTTTGAAACAATCATGTGACCATTTAAAATAAATTCTTAAATTAGAAATTGAATAGAAAGTGTAAATTTCTAAATAAGGATATGAAAGAATTCTTCAGCATATAAAAAACATAAAATTAACAAATAGGAATATAAAAATGTTTCAATCCGTATTTGTTTTGAAAAGATTAAGGCTGGAAAAAGCAATCATAAGCCTAAAAACGAATTTATTTCACCTCTCTAAAATCCCTAGAGGTTTTCTATTACCGTTTTCTTTTCGGTGTAACCCCTTACCTTGCTGAATTAGCTCATTTTTAATTTTTCACACTCCTGAGGAGCTGTGATTCATCTTTATTGCGTCGCAGGATATTCTGGCCAAACATGCGCAGTTCGAGCGACGGCAACCACATGAGGAATTCCTCCCCCGCAGGAATGCTGAATAGAATAATCAATGAGCGAAACCAGACACAAATTGACCAAGGGAGCCAACCAAACGGAAGGCATGCCGATGGATTCGACGTAAGCTCACCCGCCGACCGGCTGCATCCCCCAAAAAGGAAAGCAAAACAAATGCCGGGAAGAAAGGAAATCGAAAGCAAATCGGGGTGGCAAATCCACCCCCTTTGACAAGTGACATCGAAAACCAGTCGACCTTGCTTAGCATGCGTTTCCGATTAAAATGCACTCGATTTACATAACATTTTGGTAATCTACTACTAATTAATTGGATTACGATATGGAGATTTCAATTCAGGGAGGATTTTTTAAGTAATTAACTTAGTTATATTATAAGCCCAGCTTCTTGTGTAGTAAATCGAGAAAAATAACAAAAGAATATATCTTTAAATAAACTTTTATGCTTGCATCAAAATAAAAATAAGTGTCTAAATGTTAAAACTTTGGATAAAAAATAATTATTTAATAATTAATTAATCTTAAATATTTTTCTGTGTCGAAGTTATAGAAGTTTTACTGTAATTCAAATTTGAATCCAAAACTAGTTTTTGAAAGCAAGCAGTGCAACCAGGAAAGGTTTGAGCATTGACTTAAAGTTGGGTTGTTGAAGTGGCTTACCTGGGACACTAACCAAACCGATTGTTCGTTTGAAAAACAAATAAAATACGTTACATTTAATTTTTCTAGGAAACAATATTGAAAGTTACTTAGAATTTTTAAAGCTATATAAAATGTGTATATATAAATGTATTTTATAAATTTGTTTTATAGTAAATAGGTTTTTTGTTTTGTATCAGTAATATAAATCTAATGGAATATAATTTCATTTAATACAAACTTAAAATGGCTTCATTAATGGTATGTTAAAAAAGTAAAAAAAGTAAATACAAATATATAGAGGTCTGAGTCTATCAGTCCTGGTTAAAACCACCCAACCTAACAAACCAGACCAAAAGTAAGCCACCATAACCTTGACAATCGAATTAGGGTAAAGAGCTAGTCAGACATTAGCCTAAGACTGAACTCCTTCCCCGTTCTAAGGATAAATCCCTAGCCTACCCTCATGTCAGTTGGGATCGTCGCTGGTTTACTTTTATGTCTACGCATTAGAACCCAAGGAATCTTGCGTGCTGTCTGCTTGTAAATAGACAACAATTAGGGGAACCTATGACAACAACACCTGGCTAATAAATATAACTATTTTTTGCGGTGCGTGGTGCAAGTTGCCTCTATGACTCCTCTTTATATATAGCAAAGGATTATGCCTAGGAAATTGCACAAATGCGCGTCGAAATGCCTCCCCCAGTGGCCATTAAATTAATCAAGTCAAATGAAATCTGCATATAAAATCTAAGTTCTTTATGCCCCACCAACCCTCACTCATTGTTGGCGTGTTGAATTTGCATTTTTCCCCGGCGCCCCACTAATAAGTTTGTATGTCAATAGAATAAAGCGGGCTGCTCTACGAAAAACCAAATATAAAAGAAAAAAAAAGGAGGAAATATCCTGCCTGCTCTTTGAACTGCGCAAGGACACATTCTGTTTATGCGCCCCGAGAAGTTTACGAGCAGCCACGCTCCGCCAGTCCAAAGTTGGCGTATCAAAACAAATTCTAAGTATTGTAATTCGAAATTTTTCAAAGCAAATAAAAGCAGTCGAGTTTTAACACTCGCGCCAAACACAACGCAGTCTGGGGAGCTAACGTGGCTCTGTAACAAAATATTTAAATAAATAATACTACAAGTAATAGATGATATAAAAAAATACAAAAAAATAAAATAATATTTTGTTGGTTTTGCCAACTAAAAGTGCGTGTTTCCCTGAGGTAAATTCCCCTCAAATAGTTGTGTGGAAAAAATCCACAAAGTGCAAAGTGCATTAGCCTTCTCGGAACCGTAGAACTGTACGTGGCCAAGTTAATGCCCTCTGGCTAGGAAAATCGATACAATTGCATGGGCTCGTTGTTTTATGGCCAACTGCAACAATTGATAGTGCTCGTTGCGTTTGTCTGTGTGATAAAAATCAACTGGACTGCTGCAGTTGCAAATTCAATTGGCCAAAGGACCAAGTTTTGTTAACAATATTTCTGGTTTCCCTTTTGGCAGAGCAATGAAAAGAGGGTGAATCTAATTGAAAAGCATTCTGGGGGCTTAGGAAACTTTTTGTGGTTTTTTATGTGCAGTTGCAGGTGCAATGCCTGCACCTTATAGCTATACCATACCAACCACCCCATTGTTGATAATCAATTTGGCCAAGACCATTTGGCCACAAATGACAGTTGAGTTGTCGTTGTTGCGGTTGACATGAACATTGTGTGGAATTTCGGTTTATGTCAGCCGCGGGTAAATCACAAATCATTGTGGCCCTAATTTGCAGTTGCTGTTTCTGTCAGGTCTTCTGTTTTTACTATTTTTCCTGCCAGGAAGTTGGCGATTCCGACTCTGAGTCGGCACAAGTTGCAGTTGGCTCCTCAGTTGCCCATCGGGTGTGGCACGTGCTGAGGTTACGGCTCCTCCAGTTTAAAGAATTCCTTGTAATTTTATCGATTCGCCCTGTCAAATGTAAGCCACACACCCGAAAATCCAAACTAAATGCTAAAGTTTTCCGCATTAAGTTAATTGCCAGGCAGTGCCGAGAACGAGTACCAGAACGAAAAGCAGTCTGTAATCCCTAGACAAAATTCTGATATGAGTGATACCGATGCGGTGAGTTGTGGTTCAAGTACCCATCCATATATATTCATATGTTTTGGAGCTGCACTTAGGCGCACATGCACAAATGATTTACGAGCATAATTTGAATAAAACCAGCCTTGTTAATGGATGTATTATACCATCGACCTTGCATATATACATCATTCGAAGTCGGTTCTGTCGATAGGACCGAACCCTTTGCGAAACAAATCAAACTGTGATTTCTTGTGGCCCGTCGATTTGGGCCTTAGAACTGCCGAAACTTTTGTTGAATCAATAAGCCACAAAAACAATTTGGGTCATGTTACAACTGGCAACCGAATTTCATGACAAAATTCCCTAATGGTAACCAAAGACAGCCGCCCGAGAGCCGAAATACCCAGATACCCAAGCCAAATGCCCGAAATACCAAAACAATAAAATGTAAACAAATGCAGAAAGAGCCATCAAATTTGAAAGCACCCACTCAATGTGAACTGTATTGATAGGTCTGTTCCGAAACACGAGTTTTAGGCTTTGGCACCCCCACAGAAAATAAAGTTATTCGAAACCCACAACGATATATGGCCATACATATGCAAATGATATGGGCCAGTTTGGCGAGGAGCAGGAGGAGCAGGTGGCAGTATATGTGGCATTGGCCACCAAAAGCGGCTCTGCCAGGTATTGGGTTACCAGACACTTGCACATTTCTGCACCGACACCGCAGGCGAGAAGTTCTAGTCCTCCAGGATGTACACAACGGGCAAAGAGCGATCCGGCCAGGAGATTTCTTCACAGGATTACACGATGCAGCAGCAACAGCAGCGTACTGCGTCCAAGGCTGAGTACCCACCTGCAGAATCTGCAGATCGTCTAAACCAGCAGTTAAGATCTCAACCTGCTCAGGAGTATGTATCGTATAATACAAACGAATCATCTGTGGCAGGAAGCAAACAAGAGCCCAGAAATCAGGATAGTACATCCTTTAGTTCAGAGGTTGTGAACCCAGATCGCTCTAGGCAACAGTTAAGAGTCCAGCAGAATCCGGAGTATCTGGGACCTTCCTACGAGGCATCTAGAGATCCACAGAGATCCCAGCCAGCTGCAGACTACTCATATGAGAGACAGTCACGTGCTCCTCCGGCAACCACAATTGACTACACCACCGGCTACAATGCACCACCCAAAGATCGCACTCTTTCACGCAGCAATTCCAGACCCACCTTCTTACCCAACCCTAATCCAAATTCCAAGCTCCAAAGTATACCCAATCCCGAGTATGTGCGACCACCACCACAGAACTTTGTCTTGCCACCGCAGATGCGTCCAGCTGTGGGCCCGCCACAGCCACGTCCTCCGTTCGCCGGAGCCAGGCCGATGGTGGGCATGGTCGGAGGACCACGTCCACCCATGCCACCCAACATGGCGGCCAGGCCACCACCGCTGCGCACCACAGACAGCAAGAGCAACTTGCTCATGGGTCCTGGTCCACCGGGAATGCGACCGGGAATGCCGCCGCAACTGAACATGCAGCAGGCTCGTCTGCCCAATGCCGGAGGACCACTGAGTCCGCCGGGACAGGGACCTCCAAGGCCACCGGGAGGATTTCCCTGGAATCCAGCTGGGGCACCGGGAATGCCGCCTGGAGCTCGACCTCCGCCGCAGAATATGACGCGACCGCCACCACCCACTTTTGCACGCCCGCCGCCGGGTCAACCCCTGCAGGCACCGCCCTTCAATCGACCGCCCTTCAACCAGCCGCCCATGCAACAGCAACCACTGCAGCAGCAGCAACAGCAACACATGCAACAGCAGCAACAACCACCGCAACAACTACGCCCTCTTTCGGCAGCCAGTGCACACAACAACAACGATGACGACGACGATGTGGTCATGGGTCCCGCGGTGACCCCGCTCAAGACCTTCAACCAGAGGCCCGATCCCATGGGGGAACCTCTGCTGGAAGACGTTGAACCACCCTTCGAGACGAGCCCGCCAACGGGAGAGTCCAAAAAGGGGCACGGCTTTAGTAAGACACGTTTTGAACCACATACCATTAGTGAAGCCATTTTAGGGTTTACTATTTATAGAACTAATATCATATTTTAGTTTTCTTATAAACAAGTTCCCGTTTTTAAGTCATATCCGATTCGATCATCGGAAATAGAACCAATTTCTATCAGATAGATCATTTGTACAGTTTTTAGACATAAGTCTTACATGAGTATTGAACACTTTTACCATTTTTTATTGGCTCTTCAATTTGAGGCAGTTAAAAAGTTAAAAGTTCGAATTTTATGGGAAATTTTTATCTTTTGTGAGTACAAAATCGTTCTGCATTTTTAGTGATCGTAGTTAAAAGAGTGATGCTATAACGCTTTTTTATAACACGGGAAAACGTATTATCTTAGACGAAATAAGACTTAAACTGACTATCTTAAGGATTAGGGGATATATTCTTAACTGTCTATGAACGAATCAGTAAAGGAAACATTTTTTTTTTCAATGTTTTCTGTTTCTGTGATTAATTTTGTTTTCCTAACTTTTTTCAGAGGGGTGACAATGACAGCGGCTGTGGATGAGTCGACCCAGGAGAGGTGAGTTAATATCAGCTTTGAACTAGTTAACTAGTTAGCCATAAATTGTTACTATGGCTGCGTCTCCGTTAATTGAGAGGAAATTAACTGGAACTGGCAACAAATTAATTTAATTCCGTTGACCGTCTCTGTTCTGCCAGCCATCGACTTAAGTTCTCAAATCATAAATATCTGTAAAAGGCCGGGGCAACCAGCGGGCGATCTTCGAGCTACAAGCTCCACGCTCCATTAGATCCATATAGCATGTACAATATAGCATATGTACCATATAGTCATATAGCATACCGTCTGCGACAGTTCAGTTCCGTCGTTCCAGTTCAAAAGTTGGCCCGTCCCTGTGTTCGTGTGCAGACGCCAAAGTTCAGACTAAGTTTTGTGTTGGCAGACGGCAGTTGGCGCGTCGGAAAAAACCCGCAGAAAGTGCGACAAAAGTCGAGCAAACAGACGGATAACTCAGTCAACTTATATGTAGTATAATACATGCAGTACGTGAGCTTCACAGGTGCGAGTCGCAAACTCCCAGAAAGAAGAGGCAAATATTGCCAAAAACCCACAAAAGAAACATACACAAAAAAGCGATTTATATGCCTGGTGATATCTGGGCACAGATAAGTGCCAAACACGAAATGGTTGGAGGTTTTGGAAGGGGCTTTTCACGGGGGGTAAATCATAGCGCATAGCACACACACAGATATTCGGAACAGGAGTTGTTGTCTCTATAAATACCCATCCATATGCAAAAACGACACGAAGCGGCGACAATCGATAAAACAATTCATAAACTATAAGTCCTTCGTACCGAGACATCGAAATCGGCAGCCGTACGGCCGTATGGCCATAAATGCCATTGGCATTACGTTGACAGCTCCGGAAAGCCCGGGAGTGTTGAGAGCGAGTCGTAAATAGTTAATAAACCGGAGTCATCACCACAGCCAGCCCCAGATGCATCTCGTTATAATGGCCGACTCGACCTACTTGCTAGTAATCCACGTGGAGAAACCATCTGGAAATTAATCAGTTCTTTAATCGACTTTTTGGAACTGTTCTCGACAGGATCGCAACGGACCCATTTCGCCCAGTTCACCGGTCAAGACGCCCACCTCGACCTCATCGAAGCCGGGACAAGTCGGGCACGTCGCGCCCACGAGTGCCACGCCCTCGAACAAATCAGCCCCCAAGTCGCGCAGGCGCCTCCAAGAATCGCTTGCTCCTCAAGACACCAGAACCCGAGCCACCCAGAAAGGTGGGTTTCGGTTGAACTTATATAAAACATATATTTCTGTTATCTAAGTTCATCAAAACTAGTTTACTTATAGAGACGGTTTTTTCAAAAGGTGATATTATGTCTTGGAATGTGCTATCATAGATCTATAAAAGGAACATAAAATTGATTATGTTCCTAAACCCCATTTGGTTTTTATGGAATTAACTAAATTAACTACAGTAGTCCCAATAATAATAATATATTGGTTCCAACAACCCAATTTAACAATGCATTCTCTTTATACCAACAGTTCCAATGAACAAGGTACAGGTTGGACATGCCGCCTTCGCCAAACTTGAAGGCGGTACGTTCCAAAATCGGTTCCCTGGGACAATGCCACCTATAAGCCGGGTGTGGCCACGTGAAGATTGAGTCCAAGAAGATTGACATCAAGGCGCACCACGTATCGAGGCCAAGAACGACAAGTACATGCCAAGGGCGGCGAGAAGAAGGTATGTTCGGGATTGTCATCCTTTAAAATAACGATACAATCCACGGGGGAACGGTGTATCCATTCAGAACATATTTCTGGGCCAACCCAGTACATAACTCTCTCATAAATCTTTGTAAATTTCTCTCATCTACAAATGGCTTTTAAAATATACAGAGACATCTTTCTTAAACCAAAGAAACGTAAAAGTATAGTCGCGTAAAGTAAAGTATTGGCAAAAAATAAATGCAATTTCACGTTCGATTTGCGATTTGAGATTTATGCCCATTATAGATGGGCAATCGGCAGCACGGTATCTTGTATCTCGTATCTTGTTGTAGGAAATGCAATTACCAATTCGCAGCGACACTTAGCAGCATAATTCCGTTGCCTTATGTAGCGTATTCCAAACCCATACGTATCCGTATCCGTAGTTCTTGGGTGCGACTCTGACATTGACGCGATATCATCATCCGATCGATACTTTGACTTTGGCTTATAATCGTTTACCTACCTTGTATCTATTTACAACTTACGACCATCGAATCCGCACAAACTCGCACCACCAAACACCAAAAAAACACCGCAAATTCGTAGATAGTTACAACAAAGTTGCAGTGGAATGCCAAGTCGAAAATCGGTTCGCTGGAGAATGCCGCCCACAAGCCAGGAGGCGGGGACAAGAAGATCGAGACCCTGAAGATGGACTTCAAGGACAAGGCCAAGCCGAAGGTGGGCTCTACGGCCAATGTGAAACATCAGCCGGGTGGCGGTGATATCAAGGTATGTAGCCCCTACATTCGTGACCTCTCACCCCCCCGAATACAAACCGATTTCATGTTTGAGTTTGACCCAGAGACGAGAACGAGTTCATACATATTTATTGATTTTTGTAGCGGTTAAGTATATAATTTTCCGATTGCTGTTGGCTTTTGTTGGTTTTTGGATGCTCCACTTAAGTTACCAACTGGCATGGGCATTGGCATGGGCCGCATCTATCCTATCTCTCTCTATCTGTTTCTCTCAGTGCATGAGCTGCAATGTTCTCTTAGTTTTTTAAACAGCATGCTGCCACGTTTAATGTTCAATCAGAGGTTAAGAAACTAAAAAAAATAGAACAACGAACCAACTAACACCTAGATTACACCCAATACCAAAACCACTTGAACCACTTTCCAGAACTACGATAGAAAGATGAACATCATCTATGGCGAGGGCTCCAAAATAGTCAGCCATTGCGCCAATAACAAGCGCCTGGATCAGAATTTGTATAATGAGGAGGAGTAGTTATTTAGTTGGGTAGGTAACACCCGTCAGGTGTACATATTTCCGAAAAATTGGTGCTATAACGAAACACTTATCTAGTTTAATATTGGGGTCAGCATTGTAAATATCCAGCCTAGAAGAAAAGCATTCTATTAAGTTCCTAACCATACCGAAAACCACTCTGAATAATTGAGAATACCTTTTTGTTTTTCCACCCTTATTTTAACAAACCGAAAAATGTTTAAACAATATTTTGGAAACTGTATTTTGTTTTTAACTAAACCATTTAAACAACGAATACGAAGGATAACAACCCGAAGGATGTAAGTAGTCGTGATAACTCTTTTTCTCAGTGTATTAAGTGTGCTTTTGTATGAAACTTTAGATGCATCATATTTTTTCCTATTTTTTGGTATTTTTGTATCACCTAAGCATCTCTTTTTGAGATCCCAAAAGCACCACACCCTGTAGCGTATTTTTTGTACCTTTAAATTGTATCTTTAATATATCCCATTTGTTACGTTCTGTGCTCTGCTGTTTCTATGTGTGAAAATTCCAAATTTCAGTTGTGTCCTCGATTGGCTGTTGTCGTGTGTCCATAATAATAATCCACCCCAAAAAAAAAATATCGAAATTACCCATTTGCCAAAATCAATTTGAAATATGATCTTGCTAATTGTTTTTCTGTGCGTTGCCGGTGCCGGTGCTACTTTTCAGATCCAAACGCCAAAACTAGAAATTAAGGCACAAAGCAAAGTTGGCTCTTTGGATAATGTAAAGCACAAGCCCGGTGGCGGTGAGAAGAAGATTTTCGATGATAAGATTATTTGAAAAATGTTGAACACTCTGTTGCACTGACAACACCACCAACACAGGTAAACTACGTGTACATAAGCTCAAAGTAGTTACGTATGAGAACTAGAATTTAAATTTAACCCTGATTTATTATTAGACTTTTAATTTCATTACGAAAGCAACTAAAAAGTAATCAATACAAGTATTTCTATACCTACATATATATATATATTATCGATATCCCATTTTGTGTTTACGTCGAGAAATTCATTTTTAAGTAATCTGTAATTGTTAATTAATTGCGTTGCATTTGTTATTAACACTTTATGGTTTACAATCAGCATATAACAGAGCACCACACCCCCAAAAAGAGGCCCACACAACACCCCAACCACCCACAGACACCTCCCACCCTCAACCGCTTTCAGAGAACTCCCACCCCAAAGATCTATCCGTTCATGGGAACTGTATTTAATAAGAACTAACATTTGGACAAAGTATTTTGGCACTCTTAGGTATCGAATTGTATTTGATGGCGGGCATTTTTTATTATTTTTTGGGAGATGTAACAGAAATCTCTAGAGATTTGAAACCATATAAAAAAGGTGTCTAAAAGTATGCTTTAAATATTTAATCTAGCTCTTGGACATATTTTTTATGATTTCACGTGCCTAGATAATTTTCTGGAACCCTCCTTTACTTGTAATCCTTGGTTTTAGATGATTTATTGTATTACCTATTCGTTTTTTCAGTTCAATTACTTTTACTTTACATTTAAAAATGAATTTCTTTCAAACTCAAACTGAGATTCATTGGCAAAAGCGCTTTCCATTCCATGTGTTCCCGAAGTGTTTGAAGATTTTACACGCAATTCTCTAAACTATTATCTTCTCTTTCTTTCTCTGTTCCCCCCTCGCTCGCTCTCTGCCACCCCCGCCGGCTAACTGTAGTTTGCGGCACAAGGGCGCTTGATTGCCACGATCCATCTAGAATTCGGTCTCTGTAACTCAGACTGTGTGTGTAACAATATATTTGAGTCGCTTTTTAAATGAACTCCTTAAACTAGCTTTAACCAAGACATCCATCAACTACTGTACTGTACCTAAAGCCAAACGATTTACATTAACTGATGCAGGACTAAACAGAAAGCAACCAAACTATACCGAACTCAACTAGAAAAGCTCAAACCGAAAATCTCGAATGAGTTTGCAAGAGTTTCTATTTTAAATTGTAACCGAAATATACCTATATGTTTATGCATTCTCATGGTCAGCCCTTGGAGGTGTATAGATAATGTAAGCTGACCTGCCCTTGAGTAATTTCCCAATGATCTTGGGATTTTGCCCATGGGCAAGGTCAGTAGTGCCCGCAGAGGGCCAATGTTTGTTAACTCCCCTAGTATGTAGCGAATATCCTTTAACGAAGTATTATTTATGGCAAACGGTCAAAAACTTACACTACTACTTAGGATAGTACAAATTTTGAACAATATACTGATCCGCAATTGCTCAAAGAACCCAGAACCCGAACCCCAGACTCCGACCCTCAAGGACGGTTTAGCGAAAGGCTGCCCAGCATTTAAATCATCATCTAACAACAGTGCTTTGCTCTCACACACTGAAACAAAATACCACTCATTACATTGACCTCTTACTCACATCAGTTTTAAATTACCATTAATTATGAATTATTAAGTGTTCTTCATTTCTGTGCTTAATGTTTCTATTTCGTTTATTTTAGGAATATATATACATTTTTATTAGGCTAGTCATACGAAACTAAGTGCATTAAATTCGAAATTCGTACACACGTTACGTCCATTAGAGTTATTTAACGCCTATTACTATAACTACTACGTCATAATCTCGAAATCTGAATGCGATGCGGTTTTAACCAATATATAGAAAAATTCGATCCGAACCGATTGATTCGATTTGATCAAGCAAATCCCGTAAGTTAATGTGCGTTGCGAGTTCTTCTTCTAAGATGTGTCCGTTGCGTATATAGATAGTTATATATACCTAAATATTTAACAGTGCTGTGATAGACTAACCGAATCCAAGCTGATTTGCCAGACCACCTGCATCCATACCAAGATATAAACCAGACTACATATATAGAGCCCCCGAAAACGGTTTCATGGGCATTTGCTTGCGACTCCCTCGTTTACTCCACTGCATTCCAACCAACTCATGACTCTAACTCTAACAAGGCTTATGGTTTACCCCTTAATAGTTTATTTTATGATTTGTGCAATCGATACGCATTCACTTTTATATTTTTATCTTGAACGCAGAGTCCACTACCATCCATGACGGCTTCTGGCGCTGATGAAAATTTAAATCAACAAAGCTAAATGCCCGAAAAATGCATGTCGAGCTGAAAATCTGAATCTTTCTTTGCAATCTAAGATCGAAAGTGAAAAATGAACATTGAACAACCAGCTAATTTGAAAAGTACTATCTAAGCAAAATCCACACAAAGCAAAAACCGAGAGTTATGCGCTAATTTCCACACACCCCACATACCAGTACCAGTACCAGTTTATAAGATCAGAACAATTCGATAGAGGTGCAAGCACGCAATGAGATGCAGATACTCGTACATCTACACCACAAAAACACCCCACATAGAGCGGTATTTGGTATACAAATCGAAAGTATATTTGACTAGTTGAGCAATGCACTCTTTATCATCAGATACCAGACATAAATTATATATCTCAATGTATTACCAGAACTTCATATATACATACAAATATATATATATACATAAAAGTATCTAAATATTTAAGCAAATTATACAAGAATCGTACGAATACACTGTGTGCTTAGTTGAAAATGTTACCACTTGACGTCTAAATGTTAAACGACTAAGATAATGCGACCCATTGATTTGTAAACCGTTTAGATACTTTTTCGACAAATAAAAATGAGAAACCAGACAGAACCGAACCGAACGAACAGATAAAACCACGTATAAGCATATTTTTACTATTAATTTGTATCTTATTAGTCAAGCGCATCATTCTCACGATTTATTTACACCCTGTTACAAAATGTAAGAACAATGGCAAAATTTAAGCATAATAAACAAACAAAAAAAACGTTTTTTCATTTACCATATCTTGGCGTTGTTGCACTTAGTTTTTGAATTTCAACAGTATTTGAGATAGACAAAACAATCTTTGGAGATACCAAAAGTATCTTATTTGGCAAGCCACGCCCACGCCGCAAGCGTTCCAACAAAGCCACGCACGAGCACACATCCTCTTCTACCTCATTGGATGCATTGGTAATCGAAACAATTAAATTTGATCAAGCAAATTGTAAGTCTCCATCTCAATCGAGCTATGACAACTATTTTGCATCTCTCTTATTGGCAGATGTGAATCTTTTTTTAAAAAAATCCCCTTTTTGAATCCCCGCAGTATTGGAAGGCACCGCGCATCCAACGGGCCACCACACTCACCTCGTCCATGTCCCTGCCGGCTGAGTGTCTGGTGCTCTCCGTGTCCATGCCGTCGCTTAACTCGGAGCCCAAGCGTCCCAAAAGTGCAGGTCCCAAGAAGAAGCCCGGTCAGGCCGTCCATGCGAAGCCATTCCGCTGTATTGAGTCGCCAACTGGACTTCCTAGTCGATGAAGAAGCTGCTCCACATGCCGCACGAGACGTCACCCAATCGAAGCACTCACAGATTTGTGCACAAGTTGATATCGAGGCACGCACTTCTAAAAAAACAAACATACATTTGCAGAAAACATTTTATCAAACCGTTGATTGTTTAGAGAACAGAAAAAACGAAACGTGGCATTTACAACAAAATAAACGACTTACTGAGAGGCAAAGTTAAGCACAAAAATTCAGCTGTTTGGTTGTTTCTTTAAATAATTACAGTATATATTTTCGTAAGTATTAAATCAGTTTTACGGCTGCTACATCTCTGGAGCCAAACGGCCTTCGTTTACATTTCATTTACATAAGACTTGCGTTTGATTTATTTAGGTATATAATGTTGTATAATTAGTACAAAAATTGTCCTGGGATTTCGTTACGTCTCTACTTTATCATCGTGCTCATTGCGCTTTTCTTTATTTGGAAAATTGTGTGCTTTTCTTGGTTTCATTAGGTTTTGTATTCGTTTTTGATTCTTGTTTCTTCGTTTATTCGAGTCGCGTCACATTTAAATGCAGTTTGTTGCCTTTCCATTTACATAATCCTTTTCCTATACTTACGCCGTAAAAGTTGTTTATACAATTCTTTTTTTTTAAAGTTAGGGTAATAAATAAGTCATTATAAAATAATAAACAACAGTTGTTACATTTTCAAAAGACATGGTCAAATGAGCTTCAAGTGATTATGATTATGATTCAAGGGTCGAGTTAGAGTAAAAAAAATGCGCATGCTTGAATATCGTAAAAAGTGGCTTTCTCTAGGAGCTTGTCGTCGTCGTCAAGTGAATTGGCCTGGTTTCAGATTTGGTAAGCTTGGGATTGGCTGCGTTAGCTCATGGCTACATAACTATAATACATTTAATGGGAAATTAGGAAATGCATAGGTGCTCGTGATATGCGAAACCAATGATTAGCTGTGAGTTGGCTGCGGTACTTATAATTTTCTCTTTCTGATTGATACTATTAGTACAATACATTCGATTCAATTGACTAGATTTCTACATATGTATCTGCATTAGATTTATCATTTTCTGTGGTTCCGATTTTGTTAACAATGTTGTTTCAATTTTGTTGCGGGAGGGAATCGTAAGACCTTAACGATCCCCCGCAGAAACACTCGAAAGAGAGATTTCACATGAATTCCGATGGCAATACATTTTGGTTCCCAGAATTTCATATGAAATCTAATCGTTCTGAGGGGTTTCTTACCGGAGACCGTTTTGGACTTGGTGCTTTACGAGAATATGGAAAATTTTTATAAATAAATACATGTAATTGATTTGTCGATGAGGGCGCTGCGTGAGTGTCTATGTGTTGCGGGCGTTGTGCCGGTGTACGTGTCGCTTCCGAGTAATCTTTGTACTCTGCCAAAGCCAATAACATGCTACCTTATTTACATAACTAAACACTTTCGCTGGCGTCGCTTTAGCGGCTCTGGTCTCAGCACCGCGCGCACCGCTTCCTCGAACACCTGAATGCAATCGGAGTGGGAGAATTAGCCAGAAGCGAGAAAGAGGTAAGGGTGTGCCGGGCAGCGATGACTTACCGGCTTGAGGCCGCGCTGCGTCAAGGCGGAGCACTCCATGTATTTCACAGCGCGTATCTTGTTCGCCAGCTTCTGGCCCTGCTCGCGCTTCAGCGGCGTCAGACCCTGCTCTGCCAGGCCGGTGAGCGTCTCTCGATCTTCGCGCAAATCGATTTTGGTGCCTGGAATATACGCCCCAAACATATATGTATTTCATTTCCCGTTTGCTGACTGCGACTTCACAGTTCTGGCAACTTACCAACTAGAATGATGGGCGCGTCGGGGCAGTGGTGCTTTATCTCCGGATACCATTTCGAGGTGACGTTTTCAAAGGACGAGGGACTCGCCACGCTGTAGCATATCAGGAAAACGTCTGTCTGCGGGTAGGAGAGTGGTCTCAGGCGGTCGTAGTCCTCCTGACCCGCCGTGTCCCACAGTCCCAGCGAGACCTGTATTGTGTCCACTTGCATGGGCGCCGAGTAGTTGTCGAAGCTGTTTGAAGATATCATAATAAAAGTTAGATATTGATCTGCGGCTGGGCGACGAGAAAGGAGCCACAAACTCACACTGTAGGCACATATTCGCCGGGAAAGCAGTCTGTCGTGTAGGAGATTAGCATGCAGGTCTTTCCGACAGTGCCGTCACCGACGACAACACATTTTATGGGCCTTCCGGTTGACATCGTGAGTGCTGAGTGTGCCGCTAGCTAGACGCTATTATACTGTGTGTGCTGTGGGCAAAAATAAATGGAAGATGAATGTCTTCGTCAACTTAATTCAATTAATTAAGTTCCACTCGAGGCAATAAACCCGGCAGAACCAACTGACCGCACATTTGTAGACAGTAAAGATTCTTAGGCTTGACAACAAATTTGAAAAATATAAAACAGAAATAAATAATATTAGATTATTGAAAATCTAAATTATGACTCATTTTGGTCAATTCTTCAGAGCTTTATTGTTATAAAAATATAAAATATTTACTGTCAAATATAGTATTAAAATAAATTTTATCAAGTGACAAAAATAAGCCAAATCCAAATGTTGTGGTGACGCGGAAGCCACCGGCAGACGGCAACGCACAGAAACCGCCCGAAAATAGACACAATTAAGTTCTCATAACCGATTCAATTAAAGTTCAACGCATTGCGCCACATGCAACGGGGAGGGGAGGGGCGTGGCACGCAGGGCGGGGGCGGGAGCCCTGGAAATCTTTTGTTATGGCACAATACCGAGTGGGAATATTGTATTTGTATTTTACCGTTTTCACCTCCTATCCTTTTTCTTTGTCTGGGCAGGCAGGCGGCGGCGACTGTTTTGTACTTTGCTTATATCACTGTGCGTTTCGTTGTTTCCGCTTCTCTTTCGGCGCGCTGGCTCATTCGGCGCATTTAAATACTCGATTCGCACTATTTGGCTGCGCTTTTTATTAATAAATGTCTGTTTTGGGGGCCAAACGCAGCGTTCTCGAGCAATTTTCGTGTTTTATCTTTTTGTTTCCACACAAACACACACCCACCTTTTTGACAGCGCAGCGTCGCTCTCTCTCGCAAACAGCGCTGCCAACTCTTCGCCAGAAAAAATAGCTGGTTCTGACGGGAAAACTGCTGATAATTTTCAATGCTAAATATATTGATGATTTTTATATTAGCTTTGTTTTTAATATATTTATATTTTTAATTATATTCTTTTAACAAATCTAAATGGCATGCTTTCCGCATTACAAAATTTTTAGGTTTTTTACAAAAATATAAAACAAGTCTGGCGGGAAATTGGCAGCTCCGCCCTTTCCCAAAGGTGACAAGCAGTGTTGCAAAAGTGTCTACAGAAAAACGTCATTGCAAAGTTGCTCAACACTAATAGGCATGGGTGTGGGGGAACACCAAAAGTGTGCAACAAATTTTAACTAAAATATATGTACGTAAATATATTCCATACTGCTAAAAATTATACAACAATTTTTTAATTTAGTTTTTAATTAAAAATTTTGGTGTGTTGTTTATAGCACAGCATAAATTTATACAAAAGGAATAAAAAAATGTAATGTGTAATAATAACAGTTGAGTAAAATAAGTTTTCAATTAAATAAATTAAAAATTTCTTAATCCCCTTTGACTATTTCTGCTCACTACGCCCATGCTGCCTCTGCCCATTGTTGTTGTTGTTGTCTTGAGCGGCGTAATGAGCAGGATTTGTTTATAAACTTTGCGGAGTGTAAACCAAACAAATTCTGTTGCAGATACTTTTCTGTGTCATCTATAAGGAATGTGGAAAGTGGATCACAAGATGGCACTCCTCCTCGCACAGTTCTGGTGGAGAAAGACTCACACATAACTCTAATAGGCCTAAATCGCGAAAAGCAGCGCAATTCCATTGATGCCAACACCGCGGAGCAACTAACCCAAGCCATCAGCCAATTTGAGGAGGATGATAGCTCCCCAGTGGGTGTACTCTATGGCATTGGTGGCTCCTTCTCCGCCGGCTATGACTTGGAGGAGCTGGAGGCGGAGGCACAGCGCGGCAGCCTCAACTTTCTGTTGCGTCACGAGGGCTCCATTGGACCAACGAGGAGGCATCTCCGCAAGCCAATCGTTTGCGGCATTAGCGGATTCTGTGTGGCCGGAGGAGTGGAACTGGCTCTCATGTGTGATCTGAGGGTAATGGAGGACACAGCCGTGATGGGATTCTTTAATCGCCGCCTGGGAGTTCCGCTAAGCGATGGGGGAACTGTGCGTCTGGCCGCTGCAGTGGGTTACTCCAATGCCTTGGACATCATCGAGACAGGAAGACGCGTCTACGCCGGAGAAGCCAGGCGAATGGGTCTAGTTAATCGCGTTGTGGCCACGGGCACAGCTCTGGGCCAGCTGTAAATCTCGCCTTTTCAATAGCCAAGTTCCCCATGGCTTCCTTGATGCACGACAGGAATGCCCTGCTGGAGAATGCCAATGCCTACAATAAGGACGGCTTCCATGTGGCCAGTTACAATGAGATCATCAATGTAACCTCAGACATGATAACAGATATGCAGGAGGGCGTCAAGCGCTTCAAGAACTGTGAGTAGTCATCTAAAGCATTCCCTTAAACCACTTTTAATTATCTGTATACCCTAGCTGAGCTAAAGGCGCCAAAACCGATTCCTGGCACATCAAGGAGAAGACCATTCCAGAATGGGAAAAAGCCGAAATCGCAATCGAAAAGCAAAAGACATGACATAGCCAGCTTAATATCTAACTTATGTAAGAAATCTCCTCCTGGTTAGTGGCAATACATCTTGTTATTTATAAAACGAAAGCCTTTATTCACGTAAAATACATTTATTTAATGATTTATGTAGTTGACCGCCTTAATCGTTTACGACTCGCGCTTATTTCAATATTCACAACAATTACAATAACGAATTTTCCTTGAAATTAAGCCTAACTACCAAAAAGAGTTGAGAGGAAAAGCACAAAGTTCTGTATTCCTTGCTGTCGATCGATTCAACATTCACAATTAGTTTACACATATAAAAAATATGCTAGCATCAAGTAATCGGACTTGTCCTAATTACTTAATGAATTTTATCGAGTGCTGGGCCAAGCGGTTAGCCGGATCTCGCCAATATGTCTTAGATCTAGGAGTTAACAAAAGGAGTTATTGCACTTAAATCGAGTAAAGCAAGAAACGAAGCTCTATGCAAAAAAGGCTGCTCTTGTACAAACTAGTGTTAAAAACCGACTGATCGTTAATCGTGTTATAGTAGTTTGATTTAAAATACATCGTACATCGTCGTCATCGTCGTCTACGCCTAACATTTACACTCTTGGCTACACTTAATCCAAAAAATTTGTCATACAAATATTGCACAAAAATGGATCGGACTGTGAGTTTGCACATCCATGTGCGCGCACTCGTATTTCATTGTGCTGCACATGGCAAAACCTTCAATCAAGTGGTGGTACGTGTTCATATACATAATCACTAAAGTACGGTATTCGGAAACCTAAAGACCACAATACATATACAATATATACAAATGAAGAAGCAATTTTCGCTAATCGTCCATCCCACCGTGTCTGGTATAAAAAATATACAATATAGCGTAGGCCAAAAAAGCAATTGCTGCAATCAGCTGGCGACAATTTGTTCATAAAGATGCGGTACGTCACGATATCTGATCCCTCGATACCCGATTACTTGAGTCGCTGTGTCACATTGGCCAGGGCCACGGCAAAGGCCTGGAGGGCGGAGAAAGGATACTGGAAATCCAGGGTGTAGGCGTTTCCATCAATGCGACCGAATTGCATGACCTTTGGGTGGATTTAAACATTATAGATTTCCACTTAAGATTTGTTTGAGCAACTAAACTCACCTGCTTGCCACGAAACTCGATCTGAAAGTTCTTGGCCGACTCCTGGGTAACGCGACCCCCAAAGTCAGCTGGTACACCTGGCTCATCTCATTCCACATGGGCGCCTTATTGTGCATCACAAACTCACGACGCACTGGCGCCGGATTGGCACAGCTAGCACTGCCATTTGGCTCATCTTTCCGCGCTTCAGCTGTGGATAAAGATTTTTCCATAAAAATATTTAAAGTTGTATAATTCCATTTTCAAAAAATCAATACAAACTTATACGGATTTAATGAATTGTTAAGAAATTGTATAGGAAGGATCTAGTCTTGGCTAACCTTCTGACGCAGTTGGGCCTTTTGAAAGGTTTCCAGGTCGCGATACTGCTTGCCATTGCCCGTGTTGTTGCTCTCCTCCCCGGATCCATTAGTCTGGTTTCCCTCATCATCGGAGCTCTCGATGATACTCTGCTTTTTACGCTGACGGCGGTTTAAAAGCGGTGAATTCAGAATGTGGCGAATTGGGGAACTGCTCTGCTGCCGCTTGTTCTTTTTGCTGGCCGCCGGCGAGGCTGGAGAACTTCGTGGCAGTCGCTGTGGGGTGGAAGGAGGCGTCAGTCGACCCTCGTCGAGATCACGAAGGCGGCTTATAATGTTCTCCAAAGTGGTAAGAGCCTGAAAGATTTAAAATACATGGTAACTAAAATAAATCTTTTAAATTATAGGTGGTAGTGACTCATCCCACCTGAGTATGTAGAGAAACCGAAGCCTTGGCCTCCACTGGTGTAGCCTCCACAGCGCCACAAGCTGCTCCCGTAATCTCTGGCTGCTGTTGCCGCTCTAAAGTGCTGGCATTACTACTAGAGCCATTTACTTGCGCTTGGGATGGCTGTTCCTTGCGCCTCCAGCGAACCTCGGATAGCTGCTTTACGAAGCTAAAGCCATTGTCCTGTTTTCTGCCCAACAACGGCGTGGAATTCTCAGTGCCCGATGTCTCCTTGCTGCGTCCAATGCCAAATCGATGTTTTCTCGTAAAAAGCGGCGAGTCCGTGAAGCTAGTAATGACATCGAAGCGTTTCTTTGGCGCCGGCTTGGCCTGCACCACAGGAGACTCCTTGACCGGCTCCACCACATTCGTCGCCACAACGGACGTAATCTCATCTAGAACGGAGCTCGACGTGGGCTGACACCGCTTGCAGGCACTGCTGGGACTCATGTTGTTACGACACTTAAAGCACAGTGTGTTGGCTGCACTACTGCAGGCGCTGCTGTCGGAAATCTCCTGCAACTTGCGCACCACCTGCTCGTGCTCCTTGCTGGACAGTTTCGTCTGCAGGGAAAGCAGGTCGCAGGAGTCCAGACTCTTGGATTTCCCAGTTTGCTGCAGCTTGTGCCGTCGGGCATCCTCCTGCTGCTGCCTTTTCCGGCGATTCCTTCGCTTGTCCACCAGTATCAGCCGCTTGTTTGGAGCATCCTTGCGCAGTGCGGACAGCGCCTCGTCGGATGGCGTGATGGCCACCGAATCCAGATAGCCAACGCTGCAGCTGCGTGTAATGGAGTCGGGCAGGGCAGGAGCGATAGAAACCACCGTTGGAGTGCGCTTCATGCTGCTACTGCTTGGCGTGGGCGTTGGCGATTGCGTCTCCTCGTCGATGTACAGCATTTCGCGTCGCTTGGCGGTGGAGGAGGTGGTGGGTGCCATGCACTTGACCCGCGCATCCATTCGCTCCAGATTCAGATTGAGATTCAGCGGCACCGGGTTTACGTGGCTGTTGGCCGAGCGTACTGGCTCCGACATCAGGGCATTCTTCACCTGGACCACATTATTGGCATAGTCCGCATTGCTCGAGTACGACATCAGGGTGGTCTGTCCAGCGGCGGGCACTGCTGGACGCTCGAAGATTATGTCCGAGGGAGCCACTGCGTTCTTGGGACTCTGCAGCGTGGGCACGGCTCCATCGCAATACAGCGGCGAGATGGCGTGACGCGACTGGCAGCTGGAATTGGAGCTGGAGCGACTGTAGCTGTTCTTGAAGCTGCTGATGGTCTTGGGGCGAGTAATGGTTTTACTGCAGCTTGGACCTGAACCATTTGAGGGCGCCTGATGCAGCAGCACAGTGGTTGACTGGCAGGCTGCTGCTCCCGCCTCCTGGGACTCGTTGGACGAATCGTCATCGTAGCTCTCCGCTCGCGCCAAAGGACTCAGGCCCGCCGAGATCCCCGCTCTCCGCCATTCACAGTCAAAGAGTTCTTGTGGCGCGCCAGGATTCGATTCGGACGTGGGGACATGGGTGCTATCAAGGGAGCAGAGGCTCCATCGGTGAGGCGACGCTGCGGTATTATCGGTGGCTTAAGGGTAGCCCCATCCTGAGTGGTGATCACATTCACCTGCGGCACTGCATCGTGATGATTGCCCTGGTGTAGCTGGCCATGCTCGTCCTCGTCCTCGGAGAATATATTCGGGTTAAAGCTGGGATCAGGACCAGGTGGAAAATCGTCGCGCAGCTCGGTGATGACCAGCGTCATTTGACGCGGCTGCAAATGCAGTAGGGACGTCTTATAAGTTACTTGGCCTAAATTGGCTGGGACGGTTTTGGCAAGTCCATGGATCTTGAACTTGGTTCCCCAAATGTTGGAGGTCACCTCGACCAGCTTGACTTCCTGCTTGAGAAAACGAAAAGGAATCAGTGATGGCGTGGATCTTCTTTAACAGTGAATGGCACCTACCTCCGGCAGTGTGTCCACGTAGGCCAGTTCATCCAGGCTATCGGGATCGTTGGTTCCTCCGGTACCAGAGGCGCTCAATCGATCGCCCGCTTGGTGGCGTCTCTTTGGACGCACTCGCTTCTTGCGCGGCGTTCGCGGGGAACCAAAGCGAGATCTCTCCTCGTAGTCACTGTCCGAGGAGTCGGTGCGCCCACTATTGCCCGTGGTGGTGGACTGGCTGGAGCCCGAGGAGCTCTTGGCCTCGGCGGAGTATTGAAAGTACAAGGGGGCATCTGAATATGAATAGGTAATTAATGGATTTGTTTCTCTTTTCTTTTTAGATACCTACCATTAACCTGAGGATCGAAGATTACAAACTCGGGGCGAATTTTGGAGGTGCGTTTGCCCTTGAGCAGCGGCACCAATCCGCCCAGGTACTCCAGATAAAGCGTGTAGCAAGTGCCGGAGCTCAGATTGGAGTCGTCGTCGTGCCGGATCATGGTGCAGTGCAGCCGGGTGGAGCAGAGCGGTGGTCGCGATACAAAATCACGCAGCGACTTCAGGTCAGGTACACAGCACTTATTAATAAGATATAAATTAATTACAACTAAGTAAATGAGGGCTTATTTTAAACGGGAAGATCAACCGGCAGCAATAGATATCTTAAATAAAAGATCAAATCCGACCTCAATTTTAAAATATACATATCTCCCTGCCTTTTTAGATTTTAAGAACTCGACTTACTCTTATCGTTTGAGCAAACAGATTGCCAATGAGAGACTTAATCCTAGAAGGCAACGGCAGCAGTGGCAGCAGCGACTCGGATCCGACGCTCGCCTGAATCTCCAGGCGGCACAGTAGCTGCAAGGAGGCCACCCGTCTGGAGACCCAGGCGATGTGAACCTGTGTCCCCGTGGCAATGAACAGCCGCTTGTCGTTGTGGCCCCAGGTGATGGCCGAAACGGTGGCACTGCTGCAGGGAATGTGAGCCTGATACAAACAGGTGCCCGTCTCCGTGTAAAACTTGACCAGATTCGTGTATGTACTGGTTAAACCCAACTCCTCTGGCTTCGTTCCATCCAATCCAGTGCGCAGGGTACCTGCGACGGCGAGCAGCTCGCGGGAGTTGCTCCACTCCATGACCATGCCGAGGGCGCCGTTAAGGCATGTGTTGATATGTGCGGGTGAGACGTCGTCGAACGACTTTAGCAAGTAGATGTATCCATTCTGGAAGCTAACTGCCAGGACAAAGGAGCGTTTAGCTAAAAGAAGGAAAATAATATCCGGGTTAGAAAATGTACAAAATTTATTTTTTAGATCACTCACCCGCATTGGTTACACCGGGCTCCGCCTCCTCGCCCTCCTCCATCTTGAACTTCTCGCAGGACCAGGCCATCGAAGTGATGGGCACATCGTTGGAGAGCTGAACCTGCGACACCATTGCCCCATGGACATCCATTACAATCACCTGACCCTGAGTGGTGCCAAGTACACCTGCTGGTCGTCGGGCGTCCAAATGCCGCAGGTGATTGTGGATCCAGATTGAGCATGGAGGACCAATACCTCTGACCAGCCACGGATCCAACCAGAACAAGCCATCTGGTAGCAGATCAAGGCCATGCGTCCATCGTGCGACCACGAGAAGTGGGTTACCGGCGTATTCCGATCGTTGATCAGCTCGATGGACCAGCGGCCCTCGTACTTGATCCACACAAGATGATGCCCGAGCTGTCGCAGGAGGCCAGCTTCTGGTACTCGTTCCACTTACCAGGATGACCTGTTATGGAAATATTTATTTATTAGCTACTGTAATTTTAGGTAATTTGGACTATCAAACTTACATCTGATCTATGGCCGCGCAGATTGTAGTTGGTCCTCAGTGGATAGTCCATGTTCTTGCGGCAATGCGAGGTGGTAAAGGTCACGCCCACAATGCCGCGCACATTGCCCGTGGCCAGCCATCCCTCCTGGTAGTAGTTCGTCCTGTTCAGCTTCCAGCCCTCGTCCTGAAAAGGGAAAAATCCAGTTGAATAGGAGGATATCCACAGCTGGCGACAGCTGCCTCTTGGCAGGTCGCCTAAGCAGTCGCCAATTGCGAGTCAAGTGCCCGTTGCTGGCTTGTAAAATGGATTACCGCAGGCTCAAAGCCCGTCCCTGGCCCATTCACACATTTCCCATTTCCATTTATATTTCCCAGCATCGACAGCCGGCCGGTTGGCTTGGTAAATATGCTCCACTTTGTGACTGGATCTCTATTCTCACGCTTTGAGCCGCTCAACCTGCCAGCTGCCTCTTTCACAGCCCGGGGCAGGGCATTTTCACTCAATTCCTTTGGATTCCTAGCAACTGGCTGGGGGATGGGGTATGCTCACCATGGAGATGGACCCGGGTATAAGATGATTTTATGGGTTTACGGGATATTTGCAGTTAAGCTTCATTAGAAGCCTAAGTCAGCGAACCTTTTTTCTAAATTAGCTTATTTATTGCTAATGATTTACCTTTCTTTGAGAGTTCGTAAAAATATTAACTCTTTAATGTGAGCTAAGCCTGTTCAAAAGATATTATTTTTTTAATGTCTATTAATTTTTCCCAATAAGCTGAACCTTTATAAGATAGTTAGGGTTATCAAACTCCCTTGAAATAATTTACTCAACAAATAAAGTTCTAAAAAATTATTGAATCTGACCACCAGTAAAGTCATTAATATTACCTCTAGCTTCTTGATTTCCTTTAACAAACTTTTCGATGATTGGACTTTGTGCAATTGAAATATACCATCAACACGTAATTCAAACGAATTCGCTTATGTAAAAGGTGAGTGAAAACTCGTGCTGCATTCTCATTTGAGATTGAATTGAAACCAATTATGGCATCCAATTAACATTTCAAAAGCTTCCCTCAGTCGGCATCAGTCAGTCGAGCATTCATTCTGCAACTTTTAACTTGGTTTGTTTGCCAGCTGGGCCTTTCTCTGCGGGCTTTCTTTGGAAGGAAACTCTTTGCCAGTTTATCAACTGCAGCAGATGCTCCTGTTCCTGCTGCGAGTGCTGCAGTGGCACTCAACCGCAGTTCCTCCACCATCTCCTCCAGCTGCCGCTTGAATCCTCCTTCTGTTCTACAATTTGATTTGATTGTAGACACTCTACCCCAATCCAACCATCGCAACCATCCAAATTGATTGTTTTTCCGGGCGGGGCCGTTCACAAAAGCTTAGCCTACATTTCGGGGCGTAAAAGAATATTTCAATTTAAACCAAAAATTCGGGTGCTTTCAGCATTTTGGCTAATCCCCGCTAAGCCGAATGGGCCTTTTTTGGCGCCCAAAATCCAATTTGTGGGGCATAAATTAAAATGCCGCCGCAGAGGGAAAAACAAAAATTACGCAAAATTTGTAATTTCCGTTTTAGGACAGTGGACTTTATGGACAGTAGACCTGGCCGTGGCGTTAGCCAAGTTAATTGCTTTATTGGCCTGATTGATTGGTGTGCATATGCTGATGTCCTTGCTGATTCATTATATAATTGAATGCACACAGGGCGCCAATGTCCAAGTGCTGTCGTTGAGGCCATCGAATGGATGGTTGAAGATGGACTCACTGCCTCATTATGGCACATTGAGTATACGCCTCGATGGCAACAATTATGAGCAGGCATTCTGAATCGGCATCGACATCGGCATTTCTTTGTGGAGTGTTATTAACCTTTCACTGGGCCACTTGAACCGGATCTGGCCCGTGCTCTTGGCCAAAATAGCTGCACTCGAGATTTGCATTTCTGCTGCTCTGCATCATGCTCGAAGGCACTTCAGTTTAATAAGTATATCACGAAGCAATAAATTGCCACAATTTCTATCTCAGTAGAGCGGAAGAATGCCTGTGTGTAGCATTCGAATTGCCAATTGAATTAGTCAAAGTTTGCCTTTAAGCATTCAAATGGTTTAAATTTCCGTTTTCACTTTGGCTAATGCAATTTCCCTTGAACGCTGTAATTTCATTTGTAGGAAGCACAGCAGCAACATCAGCAGCAAGTAGCAACATCAGCAACCAGCAACCGTCAACTAGCAACATCAATGTCAAAGCTGCGACATCAAGGCAACGGCGTTGACAGGCTCACACTTTGGGCCAGGTCTTTTGCTTTTGCCTGAAATGTTCAAGTGGCTACTTGTAACTTGTTAACCATTTGGCGACGTTGACATCCTGTCTGCCTGCATTCGCTTAGAAAATTACCTGGCAATCTCTTTTGCAGTTTCCCTTGGATTATTTAAATTTTAGTTGCGTCAAAGTTTATGGTGTTTTTTTTTGAGGACCACAAGGGAAAACATGGCCAGAAACAGCAGATGCCAGGCTGCGATTATGCTGCAGTTGTGGTGCCTGCTGCCTCCATAAATTATGTTGCAGCCATTTGGCACACGAAACAGCATTTTCGTGCTGCTCCATTTCGCAAAAACACACAGCAGCATACGCATTTAATTAAAAAAAAGCCATTTTTAAGGCAGGCACCTGAATACTGACCCTCTATGTGCACATTTTCCCCCACTTTTGTGCCCATTAACCATAATTGCGATTCATTATGCATGCCAATGGCAACCCGCGACTCATTCGCATTTCGCATCCGCTTCATTATCCTCATGAACACACTGCTAATGGCTAAAACTGCGGATAAACGGACAACTAATGCTAATAAGCATTTAATAAATTAAATATTTGGTCTGACGCTTCACAAGTGGCCAATAGAAAATCCATGGAAAAAATCGTTGATAAATTATAAAACAATTTTGTGATTATATAACGATGTTAAAGAGCTCTTTAGCTAAACACAAATGATAATAAGCCTATAATATAATATTTATTGAATCGTCAAAATATAATTAGCTTCTTAACTAAACCAATGTCCAACTGTAATTACAAGTTAAATTTAATTAAAACCACTTTGGTCCTCTAATATCGAATGTCAATATACATTTTAAATACATTTATATGCTTTTCCCAAAAGCTCTCCAATTAGACACCAATCCGATGGGCATTTAAATAATTTATTGCTTAGTTTAATGCTGAGCAAGTGGGCAATATAAATTTCAGAACTAATTTAAAAGAGATAAAGAAGCTTAACGAGTTTCCAAGAAAATTTGCAGAAATTCCGTAATAAATTGGCAAAGCCAAGGAAATTTCAGTGACAAATTGGTAAACCAATAAATAAATATTTAAAAACACTTTAATATAAAGCGAAAGGTGTTTCAGGCTTTGTGTCAGTTTCCCCCATGATGAAGTCAAAGAACTCTTATGCAAAACAGTGCCCAGGTATATATAGAAACCAATCTATATATATCTTGTTGGTCTATTTTTGCACCCTTTTGCGGCCAATTTTAAACTCCCCATCTCGAAGGCTTATTTTCGGGGTCGTTGACAAAGAGTTCAAAGTAACGCCTGGAAAGCTATCGAATCCATTCGGGTCAAGTGCATAGGCAAATAAAAACAACTTGGCCAAAAAAAAAGAGAAATAGATTTGCTCGATTGCCAAAGAGTTTCGAGAGCATTTCAATTTTCCGCCAGTGCCACTCGTCTTTCAAACATTTTCTCTCGGCGAAACGAAAGTGAATTTTCGGAAAATAGCGACGATCCATCAGCACTTGGTCTCAGTTGCCAAAGATCTTTTGCGCGGCGCGATCGACTACCTCTCGACTCGGTGCGGATATTTCTGGAACTGTTCCAGATTCTCTAAGTACCGAAAATCGGGAGCAGAATCCAAAAAAACAAACGTCGAAATATGTGTGCGAATTTGTTTTGGTTGAGGCTAATTGCCTACTTAGTTTTGGCAACTAGCAGTGTCGTCTGTTTTGAGACAAAACGTCTTTATAGAGTGGGTAGAAGGATCGATGGAGACCAGCTCTTGGTCAAGGATGTGCTCCACTCGCGACCAGCCGGTGCCGGGGAGCTTCCTCGAGTGACTTTCACCTACGAAATTCAGGAGCCAATCATTTGCGTCGATATCCTGTCGGATGAAGTGAGTGCGGGGGTAAAAAATAGGGTACAAATATTTTTGAATATTGTTTGAGATGACTATAACTGAAAAACCACTTTTGATATATTTTTTTAATTACGAAGAGGTACTTTTAATGTACCTATTAATTTATTTTTGTTGTACCTATACATTATGGTATAGAAAACAGGCAAATGTGCGTTAAAAAATTACTTGACTTAAAATTTATGAGATTTTACTACTGTTTAACACAAAAATTTCAACGTTTTATCCGCATTGATAAGTTTTAAAAATGTTGTATCTTTTGCCACTGTTTATTTAAAAAAGTAAAAGCAACTTAAAAAATATGAATATTACAATAATATTTGGTATGTAAATGCGATGGAAACTAGGTTGGAAAAATATAACGATGCAAAACAAATATTTCTGCATCATTAGTCAAAAATTGTCAATTTTGGGCTATGAGCAAGTGAGCGACATGCAGCGGAAATTACGTGGCTGGGCATTTGTCACTGACCCCTTGTTGTGCTCTATCTTTTATTTTGCAAATACCCGTACCGAAAATAGAAACAGAAACTTACATTTTTTTTTCGTCACGGCAGCCCACAAAAAGTTTGGCCCATAGATGTATTTTTATATCCGTGCGTTTGAGGCTGCGGGCCTGTTTTTATATTTTACTATATCTACTCGCTCGATATATATTTCATATTGTGTTTGTTTATTTTGCCCTAAAATGTGATTGGGTTATGAGCTTGCACAAGTGAGGCACGATGAAATGTTTAAAGCGTTCAATTTATCGACATCTGGGTCGATAATTGAAAGTAATACTAATATTGTATATATTGTATAAGAAAATCGCATACTTTGAAGCCAATAAAAACAAAATAGCGTGAGGAAATGTGGCAATTTGGCAAAGCCGACAAGCTAAATGGGCAAAGGAAGTGGTGGAGAACGAACCGAGAACGAACATATAGTATTTCTAGAAAAACAAGAAAGAAAATCTTTCTGAATGCAATTTCGATTTTGGCATTA